AAAAGAGAAAAGTGTAATTAAGAGGTAATTATTCAGTTTCTGATTGCTTTTAAGAATTGTTTACTATCTTCATTCAATCTCATCCTTCCTTAATATCTCAGACTCATTTCCGGGCTATTATTCCACTATCATTAGCTAATGATGCTTTCTTCCCATGGAATTTTCAGAAAGTTTTTAGAATTTTATAAAATAATTAAAAGGTTTGAAATTTTTGAAAATTTAAAATTTCTTTGAAACTATTCAAGTTAAGTTCGAATTGATCGGAAATTCACTTATCTTAGTTAATTTTGATTGTTTTCAATGAGATAGAAATTGAGTATTGATTAACTTAGAAGGAGGAAATTTTGAAAATTATTCTTAATTGAACAATTCGATTCGATTGGCAATCTTTATGACAAACGTTAGTTAACTTAATGCTTATGGAACATGTTGATATACGAATTTATCGGCACCACTCTTAAGCTAAGTCGTAATGATTAAATTGCATGTTTTAGGAGGAATTTGGTTTAGTCTGGTGCCTTTTGCAATAAATGAGTTAAGGCATAAATTTATAGGCCCAAAAGGGGCTACAGGATTAATTTATGCATTTAATTTTAGAACAAGCAAAGAAAGAAAGCATTTCCCAGAAAAGATTTTATAGTATAACATGCAATATTTATCAGTTAATAGCACATTTTATTTCTTGTAAATTCAACCCTTTTTAATAGTTTGCAAAATTTTTTTAATTGGGCAAATTAGAAAGTAATTAAATTTTAATTGTAAATTTTAAAGTAACTATAAAATTCTTTTTTATGTTCAGAGAGAGTTTCGAAATCAGTGATAATTCATAATAATAGGCGATATCACAGTTTATTCGTAAAGATAATGATAATTTTAAAAAAAAAGAAAGAAATTTCGAATTTAATTTTTAGAAGTGATTTATTTTATAATAAGCTATTATAATTAATTATTGTTAACAGTTGTTGCCTTTATGCTTTTGCTGAATATTTTAAAAGCATTGGAAAACAATGGAAAAATATAACTTCGAATCTATCAAAATAAATTTCCTTATAACATACCAACCAGAAAAATAGAATTCATTTCAAATTATAAATCATAAATAGTAGTATCGACACACTTATACACTTACAATGAATAGAAAAGGTGTAGTAATAAATAATATGATAGCATTGATAATCATTATCATTTATCTGATATTGTGGAAAATAATAAATTTCAACAATTCGATAATAATAAGGTTAATTAGTAAGGTTAATTTAGTACTTGCTATTTACTATCTTTTTCAATAAATTCAAACCAATAGCAACTGTAACATTTTTCTTTTCTCTTTTCTTACTATCTGAACAATTTTATGACTATCCGTTTACGACTTTCTTTGTTATTTCATTTTATTACTTCTGAATGAATGAATGGAACAGAAGAGAATATATGCAAAAATGCGTATCATAAAGAAGAGCGCTTTATGTATATAATGATTTCTACACCGAAATAATGAAATAGTCATCTGGTTGAGATCACAAAAATAACCGAAAAACATATTGCGCCAATGATCTGTCATGCACCTGTTCTGTAGAATAGAAATGATGATGGAATTATAGTAGTAGGAATGATATATGCCATCAGACAATATTAATTATATTAATATCATATGTACGTGCTTGCAACTGTTTGTAAATAACTATAGAACTAAAGCAAAGCAAATAAAGATAAAGGATATCATTTTTATCACTGTACATGTTTTAAACTCATTGGAACATCTATATCTTAAACGTTGAAATGCAACAATAATTAGAAAAGTATTTTCTGAATTTGTGGCAAATAACAATCATTATCATATCAGTAGTATATATCATTATTGGATATTTAAGATATAATGATTCGTCAATGTTCATGACAATGAATAAATTTACTGTCTAATTTTTAATCAAGTTCCAATCAAATCTGCCTCTATCATTTTATCGTTTAAATTTGTTCTCTCTATATAACCTACAATTTGTTTGATAAATTAAACAAAAAATATTTTCCACTGATATTTTTTAAAAGCATTAAACTTTAATTAAAATTTAATAAGGCACTTTAATAATGAAAAATTGTTGCAAAAAATTGAAGCCAAAAGAAGAATTAATTTCTAATTGAAATATTTATCGAAATGTGATAATTGAAAAAGTGACGGAAAAGTTTTTTCGATTTAAAAATTTCAAAAGAAAGTGAAAAACCGATTTTTATTCTAAAATTTTCTTATTGTTTTCAAAGAAAGCATTTCTTCTTTATTCCCTAAAAACCATTTGGGAAATGTAAAAATTGTAGAAATTAGATGTTTTGTTTTACTATTCTTTTAATTTAAAGAAATGATCTCATTAATTATCTCATTAATGTTCAAATAGTTATAAGAATAGTTTATAATTATGAATTTGAAATTTATTAGTGAAATGAAGTTTAAACTTCATTAATTAATGTTAATTTTTAAACAAAAAGAATTGCGAAGAAAATACAATGTGTCATCATCATCTTCTTATCATACCATTTCATCTGTTTTCCGATAACAAACAGTTGTAGCTTATCGAAGAAAAACGTAAAAGAATTACCTCTACCATCTAACCCTTTTTCCCCTCTTCATTTTATACCGGAAAATAGATAATCTTTTCCATTAATCAACCTGCAAGCGAAGGAGAGAGATAATCCGTAATGATTTAAGCCTGTCGTTGGAGTGAGTATTCATGAAAGACAATAGATCCGAAAACTGCGACAACTGTCTTTCTCCTTTCAGGGGTTAAATAACTGGTGGGGGGTTTCTAAGAGAGAGAGAGAGAGAGAGGGAGAAGAAAGAAAATGAAGGAGGTAATTTTGAAGCATAATAAATGATACTTGAACTTTCCTTTTTTTTCCTTCCAGTTGATATTTAATGAAGATAAACCCTATAGTTTAGTGCTAATCGATGTTTACTTTAGAATATATGTTTAAATTTATTCCAACAAACACTTCAAATGTAAACAAAACCAAATGGTAAAAATGCTTCCTGTAGCTAAAATAAACAGTTCAATTTTCAAAATTGTAATGAAATTTCAATTTGTTAATCGATTTAATCATTGAAAATAGATCGATAACCAATGCAATGAACGAATAAAGAAAGATAATACATTTACCGCCACAAAATTTAAATTCCAGTTTTTATTTGAAAATAGAATTTAAAATTTCTTAACCTCTAAATGATGCTAATTTTTTATTTAATTAATTATATTTTTATTAATTAAGAACTAATTTAAATTATTTTGAATTATAATAAATTCTAAAATATTCACTACAGTCTGTGGTTAACTGATATCTTCAACTATTCATTAATCCATAAAAACCACCAAGTGTTAATTATTTGATCGCTAAGTCAATCATTTAGTCAGTCGGTCAGCAGCTAATCTCTCCGAGTAAAGAAGCGCCACTAAATAACAGCTGCACCAATCTATAAATTTATTCCATCATAGTCAGACTAAACCGTAATTTGAGAAGTTTTAATACAAACATGTATATGCATATTAATATAAAAGAACAAATACTTTAAAAGTTAGAAGATAATGAAAATGGGGAAGAAGTAATTAATGATAATTAATAAATTATCCTCTCTATCGTGGAAAGAATAATTTATTTATTATCACTGCAGAGTATCAAATGTTTTGGTTTAGGTTTTGACGGTTAGATATAATTGATAATATTAGTGAATGAAGTTGAAATTTCGACAATGTCGAATATTTTCATATTATTAGAACAATGAATTTCTTTTTGAACTTTAACATCAACGATCAATTAAATTTTAATTTGTTCTATAACTTTCTTTTCAGTGTATTTCTTCCTATTTTACCATTTTATTTTATTACAAAATATCATTGCATATATGGAAATATCATTTAAGCTGCTTCTTTAAATAAGAGCAAAAATTAGTTCTTTAATGAAATTAGTGCTAAAATAAATATCAACGCAAATAGTTTCATGCTTTTAAATTATAAAGAAAATTTACATGATGAAAAAGAATTATAATATTTCATGAAAATTCAAAAGTGATAAACAAAAATAATTCAACAATATAATAAATTATAACCTTTGACCTTGTCCTAAGATGTCCTTGCTAAAAAGGTAAATAAATGTCCGCAAGAAATTGTTGTTCACTTATGACAGTTTTACTCTAGTCATCATGCTTCCATAGCGCACCCTCTCGAGGTCATGTATTACAACTAATAATCATCCAAAATAAATAAAACGTAAAAGCAATGGAATCTTACAAACAAATCATTTAATGCTTATCATTGGAGCATCTTTTCGCTTGAATGGAAAATCGGTAAAGTTTAATTTATATTTCTACTAATTGAAATAGGTTTAACGTATAGCATTGTTTCAATTAAACATATTTAAGGCCTAGAAATTAGTGATACTGGCACTAGTGATACTGGCCTTTCTTGCAAATATTTCTGCGGGAAAATTTCATACAGTGATAATCTTTCTAATCATTTTTTCATTTCTTTTCGATGACAGAAAAAGTACATTTTGTTAGATAAGATAGTTTTAAAAAAATTCCACTTAAAACTAAATCGAATATAAAATTCATTTCTTGAATTTATTGAATTAAAAATAAATTGAAATTGAAAAAACTATTAAAGTAATAAATTGAAGGAATACAAAACGAATTAACAACAATTTTGCAAAATAAAATGAAATAAAACTAATAGATGGAAGCGAAATTTATTCCTAAAATTTTTCATTCAATTCTTTTAGTAATAAATTTTAATATTATATTAAATTTTATATTGAAAGTTGTAACGTTCTAAAAACTTCCACCATTTTATTTAACTAATTTGTTGCTGTTTTCATTATTTTTCTAAATGCTAGAGATCAAATTAACTTATCCATAATTAATTGGAAATTAATTTAAATTCAATTTTAAACTTTTTATGTGCTACTTTAATTTCAAATATAATGTTTTAATTACAGCAGAATGCCGAATCAGCGCACTTGGTATGGAAAGTGGTGAAATTGCGGATTCACAACTGTCTGCTTCCAGTAGTTTTGATATGATTAGTGTCGGACCACAAAATGCCAGGTGTAAATTAGTTATGATTGATGATAAACAGAACACTTTAGAATATTCCGATTGGAATTCATCAGCTAACAGGTATTAAGGTCACATTTGACGGGAAGCTTTAATCATGACCTCAACTATCTTCACTTTGTTGTTTACAGCTGACTCTTAGAATCTTTAATTGAATCTTATATTTATCATTTACACTACAGAATTCTTCCCCTGTCACTTAAAAGATTAAAGATATTACACTAAATTCAGTACTGAATCTTTCAGCAAGCTATCATTAAGCAATTGAGTTAAGACAAGCTTTTGTCTTAAACTTCACAAAATAATAAATTCACACTTCAATACTGTAAATGTACAAATATGAAAGCCTAAATTATGCTTTATAAGTACCAAAATAAATTTATCAATACTTTCTAAGCATATATGAATATATGTTGGACGACGGATTTAATTCCGTAATTATTACTCAGGTAAATTAGGTCTTACCAAGACCATTTAATTTGCATAATTGACCTTTACTGTATCGCCTCTTCCATTAATAAATATTTTGTTCCATGAGTAATAATAATAATAATAATAATAATAATTAATAATAGTAATTATTACGCTTTGCAAGACCAAAATAAATTTATCAATGGTAATAATTAATGATAATAATAATTAACAGTAATAATAATAGTAATAATAAAATAAAATAATAATTGGTAATAATCAGTAATAATACTGATATTTGATGAAGTTTTAAACAAACATTATAATTTTAGGATACGAAAAGAACTTGCATCTGGCGCATGGTGCCCAAAACCACAAATTAAAGCTGGCTCATATGAATTCTTGGAGGTTTGTGTCTTACTTTTTGTGAACTAATCATCATATCAAATTGTTTTTCACAAAAATTCAAAACATCGAAAAGTTTGTTGTTCTTTATGAATAATTTCAAAGGGAGATCAAAAGGTGTGCTACACATCGATTGTTTAGCACTTTCATTTATTCATACTAATTGTAAAGTTTGAAAAGAAATTATATTATTGTATTTTTAAAAGTTTTAAAATTATATTTCTAAAAATAAACAAAAGCAATTTTAAAATAATAAATCAACTTTTTCGATAAGATAAATAAGTAAATGAATGATGTAAACATACGTCGTAATGTTAAACCATTTACAGTAATAATACAAGGCTACAACAGCTGTCTCTTCTTTTTTTTCAGCTAAACAGTAATATTTTAAACAAGGATCCATCAAAAATTTCCTCCCTTAATGACAGATGTGAATGTTATACCATTATTAAAATTAACCTTTTTTTTCTAAGTCTACTAAATTTTTCAATCCCACAAAAATTAAATGATTTATAATTTTAAATCAAATGATTTCTTTCAACTATCTTTCGCCATTTATTTATTACTTTTGAGGTTTACGAAATGACTGACAGCTGTCACATTGTATTTAGTAGTAATTTTAAAAAATTCCCACCAAAAATTTTATATTTCCATGATAATCAATTAGCATACAAGTTTGTAATAACCTGAAAAGTATACCTTTATTATTAACATATTAATATTGAACAATTTAAGAAGTTGGAAAATATTGGTTTGAAAATAAAGATTGAGTGATTAGCAATTTAGTTAATAGTGAAACTAACGGTGAGATAATTTTGAATATAAATATTGTTATTATTTTTATCATTCCTATTTTTAATTCTATTTTGCAGATTTTTCAGCATTTAGTGTAATGTGAAAACAATCTTACTATTATAATTTATTGGAGGTTACAGGTGGATTTCGAGCAAGTATATGTGATCACAGGAATTGAAACACAAGGTCGTTACGGGAATGGAACAGGTCGAGAATATACGACACATTATACGATCGAATACTTACGGTTGAACAGTTCATGGATAAAGTATCACAATAGAACCTTAATTGAGGTGCTAGATGGAAATGAAGATACGGCAACTGCTGTACGACGGGATTTGAATCCATCGATCGTTGCCTCACGGATTCGAATTGTACCTTATTCAACACATGCAAGGACAATGTGTCTTAGAGTGGAATTTTACGGTTGTCCATATAATGGTCAGTTTCATGTATTTATTTGTTCCTATTTTTCATCTTCTTATTTTAATCAAATTTTCTTTTATTTTTGTAATTTTTTAAGGAAAGATTAATTTTTAAAAAAGAGATAATTAAGTTTATTACAGATAGAAGCTTCAAGTTTTTATTCGATTTTCTAAGTTTACTTGGAAAATTCAACTTTTTTCTTACAACTTAAGAATATTATTTCCATTTCCTTCCGGTATTCTTCAGGAAACCGGAAAATGTTCTTAAATCGGATTTTTTGAACAGAATGATAATTGGAATATGTTTTAAGAAAAAAATTAAAAAATTATATGACACATTTACAGATGCTTTAATGTTTTATTCGATGAATAACGATGGCTCCAGAATTGACAGTTATGATTTTCGTGATAAGATTTTTGAGAAATCAAATATGCTTAGTCATTTCACAAATAATAAAAAGTAAGTATCGGAAATTTTTTCTTATCACTTTAATATTTTTTGGATGAAAAAAAAGCGTTGAAATTTTTGCTGAATATATAGCCGTTCCTAATAATATTGCCATTTTGTCAAGTACCAGCTTTAGAAATTTTAGGAAATGCCCTCAGGGGTAAGGGCTGACTGTATGCAATGAAAATAATAAATTTGAATCTCAGACAGCTCATTTCATTAAAAAATTTATTCATTTATTAGCATTTTAATTATGGTAAAAGATATTTCATAAAGAAATCAAAAATAAGTGCTAAGTTTTCTGAGTTATTTCAAATTTTATTTTCATTTGAGAAAATAGAAAATTTAATTAGCTAGAAGTGGGAAATTTAATTTTCCTGAATGTAATTGAATGCTTATTATCTTTGGTCGAAGATGATAAGCAATCAGTTGCATTCAGGAAAATCTATTTTAAGATAATCTTTAAGACAATTTTAAGATATTTAAGATAATCTAATTTATTCTGTTTCGTAATTCCGTTTTATCTAGAATAATGAAATCTTTTGAATGAATTAAAATTATCATATAGCAATGCATCGATTAATTAGCTATATGATTTATTCTGTTAGATATTCACTAATTAGTTTGATCTAAGTTTGAAGAAATAATGAACGATGGTTGAATAAATGAAAATATTGATTATCCTGCAATTGTTGAATCATAAATTTTATTTTTTAATTATCCAAATTATTTTCAATCTTTAGACTTACTATTTTATTTTCTGTATTTAAGCAATTATTTGAATTTCAGGGGTTTAGGACTGCTCACAGATGGTATCATTGCCACAACAAATCCATTAGATGATATTACCGGTAGCAGTAATATAATATCGGCATGGATTGGTTGGAATCAACTGATAACCAGTAAAAATTACTATGTAGAATTTTTATATGATTTAATAATGAAGATCAACGCATTGATAATTGCTAATTATCTTTTAACAGGAAAATTTTTCCAAAAATATCAGAAATCACTGAATGCTTCACAAGTAAATATTACTTGTCTGCCACTTGCGATATTCTTCGATATCAAATTTACAGAAAATCCTGAAATATACCTGTAAATAATTTGTTGTCCGTATACATTATATATACGGACAGCACAATAACATACATACACACATACCCATATATATGAAAATGACTCGTAAGTCTTTTTAAATTCAGATGGTTCGGTGGAAATTGTTTTTGAATTTTCCGACATTCGAAAATTTATACATCTCGAAATTTGGACCTATGGAACATCGTTACGAACGACGGAAGTATTTTTTAGCACTAATGGCAAAAAATTTGCGCTCGCTTCACAAATTTCATTCATACAAGTAAAATGCTTCACTAATTTATTTGAAAATTTCAAAAGAAACTTTTTGCGGCATTTTTTTTATTGCAAAATCATTTAATTAGTTTATTGTTTTTGTTGTCAGAGAAGACCATTGGATGCAGCGCGAAATATGCCAGTACGAATACCGCTCCATAATGCAACAGGTCAAGCGTTGAAAATAAAACTTAATTTCAAGGAGCAATGGCTATTTCTATCTGAAATATATTTCGCATCAAGTAAGTTTAATTTAAAATTTCTTTTTGTTTTCAAAAGTTGAATTTAATCTTTTAAATTTAAGTTTGCTTATTCTAATTGTTCAGTAGAAAATATACTTTGCTGATTGATTTGCTTATGTTTTTATTTTTTCAATAATTTTATTTTTAAATAATTGTTTGTGGCGATCGTTACATTCGTTGCTTTTTCAAACGCTTATAAAATGCAAATTTTCAGTAAATGAATTTAATTAATTTATTAATTATTTTATTTATCAATTCATTTAATCGTTTAAATATTGCTGTTTTTTTAAACTAAAAGTTTGATAAAACTTATTTGAAATTCTTTATGTTTTTAAGATTATAATTAATTTTTCATTCAAAAATTTAATTTTAATAACTCTCAGAATAGAATCGATAAAGCACAAGCTTTGTTTAATTAAACTTACATAGTAACTACTTAGGTACGTATAGTTTAGTTACTTACTATTACTACTTCCGCGAATCTTTGCATTATTATTCGCAACTTATTGCGTTATTCAAATTGATGAAATAATTTTTGAAGGAAACAACAAAATAAATTTTGGGATAAGAAATAAAGAAAATTTTTGAGGGAAATTACTTTAGGCAGCGTTAGAAAAGCAACTGTATCGACGAGAATTCTTACAACCATCACCGTCACCACTGCTGCTATCATCACCAGTTCCGTATCCGGTTTGGAAATATCTCCCTCATTTTCTTTTTCACTTAAAATATTTTTATCTCACTGTCTTCTTTTTCTCTTCTATTTTATTATTTTTAATAGAAGACAGTTTATTAAATTAAAACGTGTTTTAAAATTTCTGACTAATTCAATTTTCGAAATGCTTTTTGAATAAGGAAAAATTGATTGGATTAAATCTTCTGCATTAACTTTATTTCAATATCTAATTGAAAATGCAGTAATTCGAAATATTACAAATCAAATGGCGATAACTAACAGATAGCATGCGAAAAAGGATTAGTAATTAGTGATAAACAAAAGATAATTGTTGAAGATTGCATGCAACGAAAGCTACCAGACGTGAAATATTTGAAATTATAATGAATTAAAAATGAAAACTTACAGTAACTAGGAGAAAAATGATCGTGAAATTAATATATATTAGGTAGCTAAGTTATGCTAAGTTCAAAATATTTCGATCTAACGCTATTGCCATTTTTCCGCACTATATCTAAATGACAGTTGTTTTTTGGTAAAACGAAAAATCGCATAAGCAGCAGATGTTCAATGTTATTTGCCCAAAAATTGTTTTAAATTAGGGAAGCTTGAAAATCTAAAAATTTTTTCAAAAAATAATCTAAAAATTTTTTTGAAATTTCTTTCGATTATAATTTCAAAGGAGCAGTAATCGAAGAAAGCTAATTGCAAAGTTTTTGCTAATTGCATGATTTCTTCAACTTTTCTAATAACTTTTCCAACACCTTTATTTCTAAAAAAGTTAAGAGTGATTATAAGTTTGATCTATGCTTCAGTCATTTGCATTTTACAAATTAAATTTCTTAATTGCATGTTTATAAATGGTTGTTGACAACAGTTTGCGTGCACTTAAAATTTTTTAACAGTTTTCTTTTAAAGCTAAACTACGATTTAATTAATTTTGATATTGGAAGTAAGCTTCAGGCATGTTCAATGCAACTTCACCAACAATAGTCGAAGAATCAATTGGCATATTTCCGGTTATTTATTTCATTGGTAAGTACTTCAGATTACAGTGCCTAATTGGAAGCTTAGGATGCAGTAAATTTATTGATACGTTAGAATATATTGCCACTAACGCTGTATCATGCAGAATTTCCATATTAGAAATGATTATTCCATCAATGTTTATACGAATATTGATTAATGATATCCAAGATTTATTTGTAAATCAAAATTTATGATATAATTAACTCAAAAGATTTCATATCATGAAGATTATGATATAAAATCTTTTGAGTTAATTATCGCTTTGATAAGCTATATATCTAAGAGTGAATTAATTTTAAAAAATATCCAAATATTAAAATTCCATTATCATTATTTCTTGTAGGTTTGATAATTTTATTCCTACTGATAAGTTGTGTTTTGTGCGGAATTCTAATTTCACGACGCCGAGAACCAAATCAAAAAAATTATAATGGTGGAAGAGCAAAAATTATGGTGACAAGTTTGGGTGAAAAAGGTTTTTGCACAAATTTCTGTGATGCAAATGATATCGATTATCATCAGATTCAAACTAAGAGTTTCTACACTGATGAAAAGTTGGTTTCATTTTGTAAAATTTACTTCTGTCTATTTCGCATTCTCAGTATTATTCATAATAAAAAAATGAATTTGAAAGTATTGGAAGATAGACTGTATCATCTTTATGATAATTAATGAATTTTAAAAAACTTAATTGTTTAAAATCTTTAAATTAGATGTGCCCTGACAACTAATATAACTAAAATTCAGCTATTTGTATAGCATACATATAATTAGCAAGTTCAAGTTTAATTTGTCATAAATTAATATTGTTAATAATTTATAGGAAATTGGCAACTGTAGGTAAACGAGCCAAGAAATCACCATCATGGTCTGATTTTCATTTTCCACCTCCACCTTCAGGTAAATTCACCGCTAATTTGATTCAATTCAATTAATTGTAACATATAGTTTATCTAATGGAAAGATAAAGGATAAATTAAATAGAATATCAACATTTGAAGCCTCTTTTCAGAGGTCAATTCATAATTCTATCAAGTTTTATATGCTAGGTTTTATTGAGAGAAATGCTGTAGCGATAATATTTATTATATTGCAAATAATTCTTTAAAAAGTTAATAGACTGTCAAGTAATTAGCTGAAGGGAAATAAATTAGCTTTCAATTTAAATATATCAATCATTTTATACATTGAAAATTATGTATTATTACAAATATCTATAACGAGTAATTAAAAAAAAATTTGCAGATAAATACGGTAACAATGAATCAATAATTGAACCATTACTGATACCTAAAATTCCTGTATTACCTGTTATTCCCAGTGTACGGAGTTCAAGGGATGATCAAATAAGGCCAAAAAAGTAATTTTATTTTTACTTGAGTTAAGACAAAAAACTTTCCTTTCCAACTACATATGAAATGAAGAAGTTAACTAAGAAATCGATAAATTGAAAAATAATGAAAAATGGAAAAAGAAAAAGACATTTAAATGGAAAATTTAAAATAAATAAATATGAATAATTAAATAAATTAAAAAGAATTAATGAAACAAATAAATAAAAATAGAAATAATACACAATCAATTTAATTCCATTTGAAGGATTGCATCAAATTCAATTACTTATTAACTTTTAATTGACTTGAAGATCAAATATTTTTCAGAATTAGCAGCAATGGTGACAGCTTGCATTATGCTACTGTAGCTGTTCAAATTTCCGATCGGTATGTTTAGTAGTTCTTCTTTAAAATTTTCTATTTCAATATTCTTTTTTATTATTTAGCAAAAAGAAATCATAAATTTTATTTCAAAAATTTTTAATCTTCCGGAGAAATATAAATTTTATAGGAAGATAAGACGACGAATTGAAATATTTCATGTGGATCAGGTTGTATTGGGTTCTGAATTAGGCCGTGGAAGGTTTACAGTGATTCGATCATGCTTCATTGATGGCAATAATTATGCTGCTAAAATAATAACAGATAGGAATAAGCAAACAATGTAATCATTTAAATTAATATTTAATGATAAATTACGAAAAGAATTGTTCCTTATTTTTGGTTAATAAGTTTTGAAAATGAAAATGGTAGATGGCCGAGAGTGAAAAGCCTATTCAAAACAAAAGTATGCCTTTATTTGCGACAGTACAGAAGGACATTGTATTTTGCTCGAACATTTGAAATGAGCGTAAATTTAATACCAATAAGCGCCAGCTCATACCAATATGAAATTTGCAAATGAATAAAAGAAGGAAAAATAAAACTTTAATTGTATTTTCAAGAATATGAAAAGCTTATTCTATTTTATTCAGATCTTAAAGATGAATAGATAGATACTTTCAACCATTTTCAATTTAAAAAATTTTCTTTTTTCAAAATTCTCTAATACAACAAAAATAAAGTGTTGCTAAAGAAAAGCCTATAGAGTGATAATAAATTAATTATTAGCACTAATTAAATTATTTTAATATTCTTTCATTATTTTTTCCTGAAATTTTAGGAGTGTCTTTAATGACGAAGTGAAAATATTATCGAAAATTGACCATGAGAATCTCATTAAGGTTAGCATTGAAAAGTTTCTTACGACGAATACTAAAAAAAAGAGACTGTTTTGTAACCCATTCAATGATTTGACCTTTGCTGGTGCTTTAGCTGGCTAAAGATAGCTTGATTGTTGAAGTTTTCAATAAGATGTCGCACTTTCTGTCACTTGCAGAGATGTCGAAGACAATTTCTAAAGTGGTATAAATTTTAATTTAAATGAATGATCAATTGATGTTATTAATTGAAATCAAATTTATAGCTTTATGGTATTGATAATAATTCAACAATGTATCTTGAATTAGCGCTATACGGGAATATACGACAATATTTGGCTCATAAGCCTAAGGCCAAGTTTGAATTATCGCTCATTTCTAACATTCTTTAATTAAAAAAAAAAGCCTTTTGCCAGTAATTTCTTGTCAGCTTTTCCAATCATATACTTAACTATTATTCAAATTTATATCCCATCATTTTACTCACATTATTTTCCAGCTATTTAAATATGTTGCAATTAATGATGGAAATAGTTAGCGGGATGAAATATTTGGAGCAAAGACAAATTGTTCATGGACATTTATCACCTCAATGCATATTGATTGATCAGCATGAACGGATCAAAATAGCATCACCACGTGGACATCTTCATCATGCTCAATTACGTTACAGTGCACCAGAATCCGTTATTGCTGTTTGTTTAAATTTTTTCAATTTATTAATTTGTTCATAAAAAATTTCACTTTTTCTCTCTAACAAAACTTTAGTTGGATCAATAATAACTTTATATAAAATGCGAAAATTAAAACAATTCAAAGTAAACAAATTAAAATTTCACAAGTAATGAAGAAGTGATATGTGTAGGAATATAATTATGTGTAGGTATATAATTATTATTAAAATATTCATAAATAATGAACAGAATTTTAATTAGTAGACATACAAAGTAGCTATTAAATAGGAGAGGGAGAGAGAGAGAGAAAGAAGGCAATTAGTTTTTACTTTTTATATAAAATGATAAAGAGATAATAACACCTTAATTTTTTTACAGATATAGATATTGCAGTTTTAAAATTTCCCAACAGATAGTAAAGCTCTTAAGCTTATTCTTATTTATGAAAATTTATATATATATATATTTATATTATTCGTAATTAATTATATCATTCAAGCTCTTATTTATATATATACCTACAGAAACCTTGTTACGACTTTTGCCCGGTTCAAGCCACTGCGATTAAAGCGATTTCCACCAAAGAATCTCCACCCCGAAAGGTATCAAAACAGCAGTCTCCGCTTTTCTCGAAACGGCTCAGTCCCGGGCAGCAACGGGCGGTGTGTACAAAGGGCAGGGACGTAATCAACGTGAGCTGATGACTCACACTTACTAGGAATTCCTCGTTCAAGGGAAATAATTGCAATTCATATATAAATTAGAGCTTGAATAATATAATTAATTATAAATTATATTATAAATTGGTATCATAAAATCTGTTGCAAATAACCATGAAATAAATGTTTCGTACAAATATTTATTGCGCTTTTCAATTGTTTCTTTTTTTAAGAATGAATGGAGTAATAAAAGTGATGTTTGGTCATTTGCGATAACAGCTTGGGAAATTTTCAACGATTGTATTATAATACCATTTGTTGAATTAACAAATGCACAATTGCTTGAAAATGCTAAACAAATCTATAGTGGAGATGATGCGGTTAGCTCTTTCCTCTATTTAATTTAAATTCTTAAATTTTAAATTTAAATTTTAAAGATTTAATTACATATTAATTTATTCAATTTTAATTATATGACAGGTGCATTTGCTTGCAATTTATTTTAAACCAAAAGCCATAATATATTGTTTTTAGATGATTCGGTACTTTAGTATTATTTAAATTGTTTAAATGCCATTTTATCATTCTTCAACTATTCCTTTATGGGCAAGACTTTCTGCTTATAATTTTGTTTTGTTATTCATAATAACTTTACTTTTCATAAGAAGAAAATTCCTGTTTACTAATTAATTTATTAATTTAAACTTTTCTCAAAACAATATCATCAGTTATTAGTGTACCGAATTAATTAGTGTACCGGATCACTTCTCTCTCTCACACACATTGTAGTAAAAATTTTATCGCTAGAAGAAATAGAATAAATTTGAAATGTCAAATATAGAAAAAATGCTATCATTCTATGATCACTTAAATAATATTCATTTAAAGAAATGATTTATTCAAAATTCTTATTGCGACTGAAAAAAAATTTTTCTTGTTAAATAATTATTACAACACTTTTTCCTGACAGCTTCTCTGAGTCATTAGTACAAAGTAATGAAAAATGAAGTGCTAAAAAAGAAATAATAGTTAAGAAAAACTACTGTAAGAAAGAAAAATACATTGAAATATTGCATTCGAAATATTTTCCTTTCTATTGTTTTGCATAATACTAATTAGTGTAATCGATGTAGCACTTTGGAAATGTTTTCAAAAAATAAGAAACATTCCGAATTTTATTGTTATCAAAGGAATTGAATTATATCACTGATAACAAAGTTCAAATAGTATATCTCCTCTATGATAAGGCTATATTTTTATAATTAAAATACTTTTGGAATTTTTGTGAATTATTAATTGTTGCATGGATGAAGAGAAATATGAGTGAAATTTTTCGCGAAATAATTTTTCCCTTTTTTTTGAAAAAAATATTTAATTAAATTAAAGCAAATTTAATGATGGATTGAAAAGGTAAACAAAAATTAATTAATTAATTGTCAAATGATTTCTACAAATATAAAATTAAATAATCCAAGTAATTTTTTCTTTTTTTTGGAACTCGATAATAACTTTAAATTTTAATTATTATATAATTCAGATATATTTGAAGCTTCCATTAAATTTACCTCAACAAATATCAAATCTCATAAGTGAATGCTGGCAAAGGACACCAAGCGATCGACCAACATTTCTTGAAATTCATTACATTCTATCGATGAATAATAATTCGGGTTTGACTATTTCTAAAAAAGGATAGTGCAATTATTTTATCTTTCATATTACTATGTAATACTTTTAATTTTTATCAATTTTAATTGAAGATGAAAATTAGTTTGAAATTTTTTAAATTCGTCTCCAATTTTAATTGTATTAAAATTTGAAAATTGAATAATTAGGAATGATGTACAGCTTTTTCTTTCATTTAGTTTAAGCTTTTGATTGTATGAAATTGACAGCCATTTCATTTTATATTTAAAATATATAAAATGTAAGGGAAAATATGATGGTTATTTCTTCAAATTCAGTATTTCCAAGAATTTTGTAAATTTGACTTTTTCAAATTCAGATTTTATATTTGCCTTTTTTCACGAAACAAAAAGCTTTACTAACTCTATCTTAAATTGGTTGTTTTGAATTTATCACCTTAAAAGGAAATGCAAATTTTTTTGTACCCAAAAAGAATTACTAAAATCTCAATAATTTTGTTTAGTGAAATTTTTGTATATATTATTTGTGTGTAATATATGAAATGTTATTGTTCGTTGTTTCTACAGCGATTAAATAAATATCTTTCAAAAATTTTCTATACACTTTATTAGAAACACCTGAATAGGAAAACAAATTTCTTAGTTTGAATTGATACCATATTTGAATCGAAATTTATAAATTTGCCAAGTTTAATTATTTTGAATAGATGTCAAAGAAGTTTGCAAATTTGATCACTTCGTCGTATCGTTGACGTTAATACCATTTGAGATGATATTTTACGATGTTAGTTTACAGGGTGTTTTTTTTTCAGTTTAGCCTACCGGAAATTCCTAGTCTTTATTCATTCCAGTAAGCTGTAGGGAGAATTGAAATTCTGGTACAAGTGATTGTGCAATAGCACTTTGTAAATTCAAGAAGTGCAAAGTTAAATTTTCTGCAAGGATATTTTCACCACAAAAAGAAAAGGAAAATGGGACTTAATAAATTTAAAAATGGCTGGCGATAATATTAATAAAAAAAGTTTATGTATTCAATTCAAAAAATTTATGCAATTAATTATTTTAATGTGGTTCTATTTGTAGCGCTAAAAGCAACATTCGTCAGCAGGGGCCTCTGAAAAGTTATGTCATCGAAACCGGTCAAAGATCTTCCTGGCTGATATTATTGTTGGCAATTGAAAGATGAATCCTCGTTAAGAATCTTTCATAGTTCAAGAATTGGACGCAATTATCAAAAAAAATTATCCGATGAAAATTTGATCGCCAAAAATTCCTCTTTTTTTTCTACAGATGCTGAACACTAAATTCACTACTTAATGGTTTACGGTGGTTTTAAACAACGGAATACCGTCATTTTCGAATGTGAACATTTTAAATTTAATTGCATATAAACTGATCATTCTAATTTTAATAAAATTTGTGATCGCAAACAAGATCCTGAAAATTATCCGTCCTGCTATATGATGATAGATTCAATTCCCACGCAAGGATCTCTCGAACTATCGAAGATGACAGTTTTCATCAATGAATGGGTTTTTTCTTTTTAAATATTTCCTGATCGATCACCAAAATCTGATCTAAAAACTTCGGCAAATTGTAGGAATGATAGAGTTAGAAAATTCTAGGCTTCAGTTAAAGCCCAGAAAACATTATTATATTTTCAGCTATAAAGAAGATATATTTCAAATTAACTTCATATTAATCAAACAATCAATTTCAATTTACAGTTATTTAACCTTTCCAATTTTATTTCAAAATCGGTTACCCTCTACAACATTACAAAGTTTGTCGAGATAACTCAATTGGATAGTCATTAAGTCTTAATTGCAAATAATATCTCTGATTTGAGGGTCAAATGTAAATCAAAGCTTTCTGTGATCACCTCCTGCCCACTGTTACATCCTCATCTTCAGGTGAATACTTCTCTCCCCCCAAATATTTTCCGTTTTTTACTCATGGATATCTACGCTATCAAACTAATTTTAAAATTAAAAAGAATGAATTGTTTCTATTATCTCATTTAAAATCCCGCGAATTTTTTAATGGCAATGAAAACGCACACGTTGCGATATCCGGTTTTTTAACGCAAGATGATTAATTGTTTATTGTTTTCAGTAATGAACAATACTATCAGTATTTATCAGGGAATTCTTCTTCTCTCTCTCTCTTTCTCTCTCTCCCTGATCGTTCAGTGGAACGTATAACAATTTGTGCTGCAATGATAGATGTTCAGACGTATTTCGTACTTTACCACAAAATTAATTCATTCGATCTTTTCCGTGAAATATTAGGCGATTTCTTGAATCTCGGATTTTCAACTTCCTAACTACATGGTGAAACGTTCCAACGAGGGAAAGAGGAAAAGAAAAAAACATTAAGACTTATGAGTCATATTATCAGTGATAACCTCTGTGATGCTTCTCGGGCGACAGTGTCACGAATAATTCTGTGTATCATGCTTCTTCATGAATAATATCAGACAGGCAAGTCTGACAGCATTTATCACAAAAATTTGGCGCAAGTTACATTTGGTCACTAATCTGATTTCAAGTTCAATCCAATGAACAAAAACGTACTTTATCAACTATCTCTAATTGTACTTCACGCTTTTATCACACTTTAATGGATGGGTCTTGTACCATTGCTTCTTGCGCCTTGTTCATCTTTCCGCCTTGTCAACTCACCGAGATTAATCTAACTTGTCCCGAGGTAAGAGGGATGGATTTTATGGACATGGAAGGATGGAGAGAGAAATGCCAGTGTTAACCCCCGCCCAGTGACCTCCTCCTCCCAAAAAGTGTTAAGGACATCGTCAAGCGTCCATTTCTGTTATTCCACACCATTTTTGCACGACGACAAACGAGAGCCACGTATAGCACGGAGGGAAGGAGAGAGAGAAGAGAAATGTGCAGAAACACCGGATAGGATGCGAATATAGGTACGAGTGAGAAGAGAAAAAGTAAGCTAGAGTAAAGAAGGAACAAGATGGGATAAGGGTAAGGGTAAGGGTAAGGGCAAGGTAAGGGTAGATGAGAGTGAAGGTAAGATTAAGAGTAGGAAAGACGAGGAGGAAGAGGAGGATTGAGTCGATGGATTGTTTTGGTGTAATGCCATTCCGATGCTCCTCGTCGTTGTCGTCCCGCTTGTCACGAGAGGTTATTCTCTATCCTCCCTGCGTCAATGTGCTCCTTCCAAGCTTACCGTTCTGCGCGCATGTACACAGACAGATAGACACGCACACATACACGTCCATACACACATATATATCAGGGGGCGTACATAGACAGACCGACCGACCGACTGGCTACGACACGAATAGCCTTCTTCCCCATAAATCGCGCATTGATCGTATGTGTGTATGTGTGTGTATGTAAATACGTGTAGATAACACGCCTAACACGGAGAGCGCAGAGAATGTAACACAACGGTTGCGGCAACAGCAGCACTGCCACGGCAACAACAGCGATATGTTGACGTACGCTGCGTTGCGGACACGCGCGCGCACGCCCCACCCGACAGCATCACAACTATCTTCGCCAGCATCCGCGACGGCGGTGGCACTGACAGCAGCACAACACGAGAGAGAGGCCCTTGCTTTTACCACCCACTACGTCCTATCCGAGCTTAACAAACCTGCAATACCAAACTACCGTATAATTATTGGTAAGTAGAAGCTTGTTTTCTTTGTTAATCCTATTAAATTTATACTCGTACAGGTTACTTTAGCAAACATTACACGTACGTATAATGCTTTGCACGGAATATTTTCGCAGACAAATGTTTCATTGATAGATGATGGAAGGAGCATACGTATAGTGAGGTATTAAATCGATGTGGCATTCGTGCCATTATATTTAAACACAGAGATGTATGTTTTGGTAAGCGTAACAGAACTAACCGCCATCTTTGTCCATCGATAGGGTGGGAAGTTCATCACAGTTCGCTCCCATCGTAGGCGGAGAAGCCAATGGAATATTCTAATCGTAAAATATGTAATCGTAAGTGATCGCTTCGTTTTGGTCTACCTTGTGCAATCGTAACGTATTCGACGGGTAGTGATGAGCAAATCTTGCACTCCGTAATATGGCCCAGTATGAGCATTCCTCTATTTTGCGGGAAACTTTTTAAATTTTAAAGACTATCTTACAATTCTTTACCTACTTCACAATTGTGATGTTAAACGATGACACGTTACGAATAATATCACTGGTCATTTTGTGTAACATTTATGATTATACGGCTACGACGACATGCTATATTTATCTGTAGAATGTAGAATATACAACCGGTTATGTAGTTGCAGAAGCTGATAATTGTACCTGATCTCTTCCATTATAATCATTTATTGATCAAGCTGCGATGGTTTGGATAACCTAGTACTAGTTAGTTGACATTTTTTTTGCTATCAAATTGGCGAGAATGAGTTTCGGATTGTCTGAGATCAACGAATGATTGTTGAATATACAGTAATTGTTTATATCACTAGAAAGATTTGAAAAAAGTAATGATTTTGGATTATAGGTTATTTGTTGCGAAGGTTGTGAAACGCATTAAATATGTCAATCAATGGAGCGGATGATGGTGGCAGTACTACACCGGTAGATCTTAAAGCACCTATTTTAGAGGTTCGTTTCAAGCAAGCTATTAGAAAATTCATGTACATGTATGAAGACTGGGACGTTTTTCGAACATATATATTTTAAGATTCCAAGTTCTAAGTATCACATTGGACAGCATCGAGGCATGGTTCTTTTATGCCATTTTTCTTGAACCTTTCACGATGGGAAAGAAAAGCTGTTCAAAAAATGACATTTTAATAAAACTCTGCTGCTTTTTTTGTTGATTTTTTGAAATTTTCAGGTAAGATGTGGACATTTGGTGGCTCGTCTACACACTGAAAAGTTCGTATGCCCGGGAATACATCAACCATGCATTGAGTTGGATGGTTTGTTTTTAATATTAGATGTATCTAGATTGATTGTCAGGGATCTTCGTAATGATCATTCGAAATCATTAATCTTCAAATAGTAATTATGTGCATGCAAACAGTCACACCTTTGTAATAATGGTTGATACCGTTGATGCCCAAACGTTATTAGTAATCATGATATAGTTTTGTGAAGCGCATTGAAATCAATTCTTCGGTTGCTTATTTACCGTCCTGTAAACACTTTAATCCGTTATGGTTAAAGTGCGGTTCCTTTCATGTGATTTCTTGCTTTCCAACCTGATGGTAAATATTACATTATTTCGTTACTCTATGGACCGTTTTGACAATCACACACATTCGATCTTTATGATGTTGTTCGGAATGATGTTAGAACATCAATACAAAAAATGCCTACTCGTACGCATGTTCTGTCATATTTTTTCATTAATATTTATTTTTAGGCGAACTGATTAGCCCCAAAGAATTTACAATACGTGCTAATAAAGATAAGCAAAAGGATTGGAAAGGAAGTATCCGTATTGGAAAATCAAATATGAGGTATTCTAATTCTTCTGTATCCTAAAAATTTTGAAGAAAAAATTGTATAATTGAACGTAAAGATGAAAGAATGTTTTTATTTAACCTTTCTACGACGCAAGATTTATTTCTGGAATAGTCAGATAGAGCGAAATATTTGCTGCGATTTATGGAATAAGTATAGTAGAGGCAGAGTTAAAGCTGCTTCTTAAATAGTATACTGGACTTCCTTTTCTAGTAATTATGGGATCTTTGCTCTAAATTTATTTGTTTTTGCATGTTGCCAGTATAAAAGATGCCTAAGAAAACTTCGTTAACAGTGATACTGCATGCAACTTTTTTTATAACTTTCGTGGTGGTAATATTTTTGCTAAAATCAATGTGAAATTTCAAAGTAGTCTGTCGTTACAGAAACAGAATTAAATGAGGCTTTTTACTTTAGAACTGTGAGTAAATCGAAACCAAAGAAACTAGATCTTTAAGAATATACTTCTTCTCAGTTACCGGCTGTCTTTTTTATAGCACATTTCTTTAGAGCATTAATGGAAATGAAAAGCCTCGACTTTTATAATCACGAGAATTACTGCAGCGCCAAATGTCAGTCACGAAATTTCATGTCATTTAAGAATCATCTTACGGAAGCGTATTTAAACGCCGATTTGCTTTATGGAGCGACGTCATCATCATTTGATGAGGATAAGAAGAGTGGCATTATGAGGTGATTCGCTTATTTCATTTCAGCAAATGAGTCCGGTATGACTTTGGGAGTCACAACTGATATGGTGTCATTTAAAATTATTTATAAAAGATTTGGAAAACAATTTTATAGTTGCAATATGATGCTTACCTTATTTTTTTGCAGCCTTTATTCACAAGTGAATGAACGGAGTAATTCGGTTGTTAATGGTATGTTCTCCTGATGTATTTTTTATTTTATTATGAAATCTGCTGTTGATTCCTTACTCGGTCTTCAGTGAATAGAAATTGGTCGAATTACAAAATTCTATTTAATGTTGTTATTTAGCTGCATCTGGTGGAGTAGAATATAGAGTGTTTTTCTTCGTATTTTAATTCTATTTTTATTTTGCAGCAATAATGTCAACGTTTATGAAGGGTCAGAAATTCGATGAAGATCTCATGCCGGCAGAAGAAGATACAGCCGGTTCAAGTAATAGTGCCGTGTTGGTGATGAAAAACCGTAGGTTTTTCATTAAGAAACTTTCGTTCTCTTCCATTAATTTTAGGCTTACACTTTTGTTTTGCTTTTATGTTTTTCTCCTATGCAACTGATAGATAACCTTTCTCATTGTGATTTTCGTGTAAATCATGTGGTATACAAACATCGCTTTGAAAACTATTGAAAACACCAAGCTGACTTTGTGCTTAAGGAGAGGTTTTGTATGGCTGTCATCAGGTTTTTCTGGAGAGAAAGAGGACACTTTTGTTTACTCAGTGGTCTCAACAAGTTCTCGTACCACCATGCATGCAGAGTAATTGAAGAAATGAGATTTTTTGTTTCGGAGAGAAATACTATCACTTAGATGCAATGCATAAGCAATTTCTGAATTAATCTGTTTAATCTTTTAGAGCCCATTAAATTTTGGGCAGGGATGGATGAAATGGGACTTTTAAGTGATTTAACAGACGTTATGATCACTTCTATGGAACATCTTCGTCGCCTTGCACTGATGGGACCCTCACAGAGGGATGCAGGTAAGCCAATTATGATTTCATTAAGTAGTTTCATCACTTTACTTTTGTTTTACAGATTAGCAATATTTCTAAACAAAATATGCACCAATTTAGAATAGAGCAAAGTTTTTCCTATTTTGTTCTGTCATGAATTGTGCTATAAAATTTTGATTTCGCACTTTTCATACTGTTTAACCATAAAGCAGAGTGATCTTACATAATCATACACTTACGAGATTCTCCGGCATAATTTGAACTTAATTTCGCTACTTCAGAAGTCTCTCTTTGTTTGCAGTTGCCGACAGATTGACTCGAGTTGCTGGCGCATTGGATTTGGAAGAAACTATCGGTTCCAGGATACAGGCAGAACGACTTAATTGTACTGTGGAAACAAGTTTATTAAGCAACGAAATTCAAGGTATAGAAGTTTAATTATTTCAGTGATCCTTGTTCTACTACATATTCATCGTTTTTGACTCGATTTTAAAACTCCCATTGCTGTTATAATAACTTATTAATAAGTCATTACAATAGAAATAACAATGAGAGTGAATTGGAAAGTACGTACAACTAGTCAGTAATGAGATATCTGTAAATCACTATTAAGCAGAACTGCAAAAGAAAACCGAAGTGAGCTGGCGTAGACTGGAGGAGTCGCGACGGAAGGCATCTCGAATTGATGACCTGTTCTGCGAGGACTCCTCGCCAAGTGTACCAGGGAAACGTCGAAGGCATTCCGCTGCAGCCCCTGCATGTGTTACAGTGTCAGCAATAACATCTGCGCCAACTCCTGCTACCGCAACTGCAACTGCAGCACCAATCATCGATGAAAATAATGGCTTATCAATGGTGGAACAGTGAATTTCATCTGTTCTGTATATCATGTTTTCACTTTTTTGTCAAGCTACTGTTTTTTGTTTATTTTTCTATCGATTTTAAAATATGTGGCTTTATTTCGTTGTTTATTAAGCTATTAATATAGAAGTCAGGCGAATTGTCGAACACTGGCTAAGAGGGTTATTTAAATTATACCTTTCTTACATTTGCAAGACGACAATCAATCCTTGCCGGTGATTGTTTCCATTCAAAACAAGGTCAATGGCAGTTTTATTTTTCCATAGATTATAGATTATAAAAATTAATATCGGGACATTGGTAGTGAAAGTCCCTCGTTGGGCACCTTAAATTTTTCAGTCATCAAAAGAGTCTTGTTTCATCTTGGTTCGTTGCAAGTCTTGACTACTTAGATCTGGTTTTAGAAGGAATCTTCTGCCATTTATAGTAGTCCTCAGTAAATCCTCCAAAAATGTTGGAATATTAGTTTTTTTGGTCTGCATAAATTCCTATAATCATGAAAAATTTTGGGGTTACTCTGTCTCTTGCTTTCGTTAAAATTACACTTTTACGGGGACTTTAGTTTCTATTGTTTTGGAGAAATTACAGTAGTGTTGAATTCCATACTGTTTTCAACTTTTGAAAGAGGTTTTTGTTCAACAGATTTTGACCTATCATTTAAAGCATTTACGTTATTTTGCGATTCTCATAGATATTTGTAGTTTTCACTTTGGCGAAATAACTATGTGAGAATCGATGCTTTAGAATTATTTAGCACTAGCAATAAGAATAATCGGAAATATTTTAGAAGTATTTTAAAAGATTTAAAGAATTTTGCATGGATCATACATAATACGTAATGTACTGGTGAAAAGCATTTCTAGAGCCCTGTGACATGACTGTCGTCTGGACGGAAAAGTTATGATAAGAAAATCTAAGTGATATTATGCCTCAGCTTTATGCGGCAACTGTTACATAATAAGTCTCAGTTTAGAAAACTTGCTTCAGAGCATACAGAAAAACGCAACGCATTTTTTTAAATTCTTAAGTAAAGGAGTATTAAAAATAATTTTTCTTTAATCCTATGAGCTTGACTGTTAGCATTTAAGACTAATTTCACTTATTAAACGCTCATTTCATCAAATTTAGAACTTCTCTACATTTTTTTTAAAACAGTTTCATTGCCTAATGGGTTTAAAGACTTCAAGGGGTCGTGTTCAATTTGTGATTTCGTCCCCCAATATGTTCGAAAAATTCTTTAGTTTAAGAAGCAGCACCTATCAGGTATGTGGATTGATAATTTCCTTAACTTTTGCTAAAGCTAGCGAGGTTTATGTTCCTGAGCCCGATTAACTGTAGATTTCATGTTGCCCAGAAAATGGGTTGCTCAGTGAAGCTAGAAAATTTTAGTTTCTTACTCAGGCGGTCTCTTGTTTGGATTTTCACAGGTTGCTTCACTCACCATTTTTTCCACATCCGCCGGAATGGACTAAACGATATAGCAGTTTACAAAATACATCCCTTTGCTAATTTCGGTTCATTATATCAAAAGGAATGTTTGGACATAAAGGCACACTTACTTATCCTCGGTTAAATACTGGTGATTTTTTTTGACTGAAGCAACCGAATAAATTGCTTCTTTACGAATCGGATCTCTGTTTGTATACACTGTGCTATAGGCTATTTACAGAAAAAGATTGTCAAGGCCAGCTTCAGTGTCGACTTTCTCTACTGCTTCTTTAAATCAGTTTTGTTTATTTTTTTATTATGCCATTAAATGTTTTAAAAAAAAATATGTCTGTTTGTTATTCATAGAATATAGCAGGTTTTAAGAGGGTATAAAAAGGCAATTTTTCATAAAGCATTGAAGTGCTATGGTGTTTTCATTTCTTGGTTGAAAATACTACTCTGATTGATTGGTAATACCTTGGCGTTGATTTGTTTTTTATACACCTATTTTATTTAAACCATTGAGAACGTCAGTTTGCAACATAAAAGCAAGGGACTAATTCTATGCTGCTGTGAATTTATTCAAGCAAACAAGTGAAAAACAACCGATATATTCCGGAAACAAATTATTCTTCGTTTAGTTAGCTTTCTTTATTTGGTTAGTTCTACCTGATGTTTGAGTTTAAAGAAGGTATAAATATAGTGCTCATCGATCGTTGTGAAAATATTATGGAGAGTTATACCATCAGCAGGCTTCTATAGCGGTCAGTATTACTAGGAGTACTGTTGCCTAACATGGAGATCTATTCTAATCGTGATATTTATTGTCCTAAATAATGAATGAACTTTCCATTGATCACTGGAGCTTTCATTACAAATATTCAGCTGTATCACAAATGCACAAAATACTTTCACAACAATATATGGTCCTCAAAAAGTTCATATGATGCCAATCGCAAAGTCGTAATCTTCATTATAAATAATATGTTTTTCAAATTACAAGGAAAAGACCAAAATTTTATTTACTCTTTATAAGTAGTCACCTGACAGATAGGTAGAAAAACATATTTATAACAAAATGAGTGAGATGTATGAATGGAAGATGGAGAGATAAACATTTCACTCTTTACTACAAATTATAATTGCTTTACTTGTTGGAATGTATTTAGTAGTAAACAGAATTTCAACTAAATGATATTGCCTGGAAACTTGATAGTTTAAGTGATAATTTGCAGTGCAGTTTGTGTTATCATATAGGTTGTTTTACATGATTTGAGGATGTAAAAAAAAACTTGTTCCATTATACTTCCTAATATCAGCCAATATTGTAATAATACTCTAAAAGCGATAATAACTTTAAAGTAAAATAATCTTCCACTCTCATGAAATAATTTGTTAAAAGAATGATAAGCGTTTCTTTTGTGTTAAATTTTCTTAGTTTAGATAGCTATCTTGTGATGATAGCTTAATTATCTGTCTTGAAAAGTATGCGTATCGTTAACAACTGAAACAAATTGCTTTCAAGGCTAATTGAGGAAAATTGATACTCAGTTGTGTTTGGTTTGTATCCGGAATCAACCGAAAATTTACTGTATTTCTTGGTAGTATTTCATATTTTATCTATCGCAGACTTTTCTTCATGTCAAAAAGGGTATCAAAAGAAAATATTTGTAAAATATACAGTTTTAAAAAATCGATTTATTGATCGATTGATTTGTAGATGTTAGCCTTAAAAGTAAATATATAATAAATGAAACATGGAAAATCATTATTAAACAATAGTTTAGAGATAGCAAACGGTTGATGACAAAATCATAATGAATTATCAGAAACGGTTTGATTATGAGATTACAACTGCAGACTTACTCCAAAAACTAAGGTTTTTACAACCAATGATTATTTCAAATAACTATAATTATGCTATCTTGTAATATCACCGAAAGCTAATAACGGTGTAACACGGATTCTGTTGTGACAAGAATAGTCAGTGATTTTGATTAAAATTGGAAAATGACATTCATAGGAATTAGGAGAGCGATGGTAAGATGTATGATATTATCTTCAGAAATATACATGACAGAAAATCCTATTTGAAATGTGACAAGAAAGTTATCATAATGTGTGGCTTCTTCGAAGACAGTCATTTGTGCTATCATTTACAATTAACAAATATGCATCCTACGGTGTTTTCAACTTTTCAAAATTTCATCCTTTAACGATAGCCTTTCTTGCCGAATTCCTTCACACAACAAATTAAAATCTTTGAATTGAAAAACACTCCTTCAGGCAAAAAATAACTATAAGAAATCCCTTTGGCACAGATCAGGCAGAACCGGAAGATCTATTTTTTATTAATAATGAATAATTATTTTATTCAATAAATAATAATTAATTGATTTTCTCTCTCTCTCTCTCTCTCTCTCTTTAACTAATAAGCTTTTATTCATAAAATGTTTCATAGTTTTTTCACATTTCGTAGAAAATGGTTTCCATCGATATAGTAATTTCCCGAGAAATTTATTTCAATTTTGAACTTTACAAATAAATTTGATCCATATTATTCCTTACAATAAATTTTTCACTTCTTGAATTATAAGATAGAATTCTAGCCTGTGATATTCAATGTACAGCATCCAAATGGGCGTAGTTTTGGTGCAACACCTCATATTGGTGTTGTAATGCCACAATCTAAAATAACCATTTATTGTACATTTCGATCGGAACGTATCACTCGAGTACCAGATGATGGAATCTATGTTTACAGTATTTTTCAAAAAGCTGTTAACAGTGATAAATTTGTCAATGCACACAGTAATAAAGAGAAAGAACGAGTGGCACGAAAAGTATATTTTTAATTCGATCTATTTACAATAAGAAATTTACAAATAAAATATGCTCGAATCTGAATTCCTCAAAATGGGAGAAATTATAAGTAAAGAAATGTTTTTAATTGTAATATGGAAATAGTTTTTCATTTTCTTTATCGTCAAGATTTGGTCACAGCACCGCGGTAAATGTTTCGAGTGTCTTCGTCTTCCGGTAGGTTTTGAACCACGGCGACCGGCTATTCATGAACAACACATAGAGCTGTATGACGATGATACAACTAGTAAACTTCAACATACAAGATACAAATTTTCAAAAGAGGAAATGCCAACGAGTCAGTTACCATCTGCGGAAGAAATACGTGAAGGAAGCAAGCACTAATAATATTTTCAAAATATTTAGTGCTATTATTTCTTTTATTTAACAATGAAGATTTTAATTTTTCATAAAATTTTATCTTCACGATAATAAATCCATATTGATAAAATTGAGTTTTAGCAGAATAGCTTTGCTGAAAATACTTCATTATTTCAAAATTGAAATTCAAAATTACGAATTCACCATTTATCATCAAAATTTGATCGTCAAAATAATATTTGCTCAAATTGGAAAGAAAAAATGACTTCATTTAATTTATAATATCGACATAAAGTGGAATGAAAAGAGAGTATTAGAGAAATAAAGTTTACATCATAACAGAAAATGATACTTTCAGGATTCTTCGCTAAGAATTATTTTAAAATAGTTAAATTACCGGATTAACAAAAAAATCCGCTATATTCAATTAAAAAAAATGCTTAAGTAATTGTATTCTTTATGGTAATAATCCTTGGCCCGATATTGCTGGCTCCCTCCACATCATACTAACCTGATTCATTTGACTTAATAGGTAAGTTAACCTGAAATGCATTCGTGCGGCAAATAATCAAATAAAAAGTTAGGCTAAAGTGAACAATTATATGAACTTCATTTGGTCGGAAAAAACGATTAGAAAAACATTGGACAAGTTTGAGGAAAATTAAAAATAGTTAAATTCCAGAAGATGGAAACATTAAAATTGCTATTATCGCATGATCATCATTATGGTTACTGTAGTATTTCGCCTGAATTTTATGTCATGAAAAACGAATTTTCAAAATGGATATCCGGAGATAATTGTAGCAGAAAGAATGCCATTTCAGTGAGAAAAATAAATAGAATGTCATTCTGTAAAAATGAAAACTATTCTACTACAAATTATTCAATTCCAATCTTCCTAGCTACAGATTTATAAGTAAATACCGGGAAATTCCTGTGCGCGTTGTTTTGTTGCAGTCTATGTTTTAAAGTGCAATTTCTTCCCTATGTATTTTTGATCCAAATTTGAATTATTCCTCAATCCCCAATTTTAGAGAGGAAGAATAAGGAGCAAACTAGATTTTTGTTACTCTTCCAGAAAATCTTTACAAGTATCTCAAAATCTAAAGATTATTTTGATAAAATTTTTTATCTAAAATTTCTGACGTTCAATTGTTAAGTGTTGACTTGTTCCACTATTGCAGAAGGATAATGGATACTAAAATTCGAAGAATCTCACTATGACTGAATCAAAGCAACATTAATGTTGTGCGAATGTTGATGCAGAAGAATCAAGAAAATGGATTGTTTATAATGTATTTCTTATGATCTTGGAGTATGTATTGTTACCTGAGCAGAAAGATATGAGTAATGAATCAGAGGTTCGAAGAACGAACTGAGAGATGAATCTGTTTGAATGACTGAATTGTTCAATAATGTGGTAAAAACAAGCACAAATACTAACAACATTATACATTTCCTGTATTCTGTTACAAAGCATCCAAATTTAATAGCAGTTACACAAAAAAAACGAATAATAAATTATTTCATACAATCAGCAATTGTTCACGAAATATTCGAAATGAATTTTTCCAGCCCATTAGCTACAATTTTGAAATGCAGCGATTTAACAGAGCATAAGAGAACTGGAAAAGTCTCATCGTTTGGCGAACAATAATTCCCGAGTGCGTCGCTTGGAAGATCTATCCTATTCTCCAGGATAATGATTGAAGCAAAAATAGAATTTCTATTTTTCTATGAATTTGAACAGTTAGCGAATTTTTTTACTTCGGTGAATTTGAACAGTTAGCGAATTTCATCGTTGATCAATAAATAAACTATTAGTTAGCAAATTTTACCGTTGATCAATAAGTTAATGGAATAGCACTTTGTAAATTTTAAGAAGTAAAATCAGTATAAGAAATTAATTGGAATGGAAAAGCAGCACATGTAAAATGAATGTCCCGTATGATAATGTATGGACATACACATATAAATACAAGTTTAAGGGGAAAATTGCACTTAAAATAAGTTTCAAAAAATTATCAATTTCCCAAATCGAAACTACGTAAGTAAAAGAATCATTTTACAACTGTTTTTGAACAGCTGGCTCGAATAGTACCAGTTATATCCGCCTTATCAAGGTTTTTTTATGTGAATCATAATTTTTCGACTAATCAATCACTTAATTCCGTAACAAATTCACAAATCCTTATTTTTTTTAACACATACAATGTTTGTCCATTTTCATTTTATGCCAGATTCGTTGACTGTAAACCACTTAGCTATAAGCAAGCGGAAACTCCAATTACAGAGCACACAGTAACACGTAGCGGCAGTACACAATAAAGAAGTACTAGACGGTTAATAGAACTTTAGACCCAAAAAAAGTTATGAAAAAATAAATCAAGCAGTTGAAGTGAGAGTTTCTGTTCCAGCTCCACGTACAAAAAGAACTCGTGGTAGGCCTGCTGTAAGCTCGTCTAAATAATGCAAATAATCTGTGAAACCTGAAATTTCAAATGTTTTGGAAATTTATCCAAACTATGCAGCAGTTGCAGAGAGAAAATGATAAAGAATTTTCCGCTATCTAGCATCTTTTACAGAAAACGAATTCAAAGTCAGTATTAGCTTTGTATACCCAGTATTGCTAAGGCTTTTGCGTGTTTCCCTCGTCTTATAAAAAATACAATGAAATTCGATTGGAAATTCAACGGTGGCTAAAGATTTTAATGAATCTGACAGTTATAATAAACAGGATAAATATCAAACCTTCTTTCACTTCGGGAGGCTTCGGAAGATTAAGCAGTATCAGTTGGCTTTTTTCGGACGTATTCCTGAATAAAGCATTCAGACGAATAGCTGTGTGCATTTTGTGAACCTGAAAGCTACATTCGTTGATTTTTTCGTTAATCATGTGATAAAGTTACTCCGCTGCTTTTGTAAACAGGTGTGGAGACTAATTTAAGATTCGCTAAAATTTGCCTATTTCGTCCAAAAATACAATTTCATGTTTATATCATAAATTATATGAAGGGAAAAGGGAAAAAGAAAGAAATATAGGTAAATGGAAAAAAGAGAGAGGCAGAGAAAATTAAGTAACATTCATCAGTATAAAGATCAATTTAGAGTATTATGAAGAATACACAGAGCTCAATCAGGATCAAAGCTTGACTATCAACTTGTGATACAAAACATAACCATTGAATATAAAAGTGGAAATGCAAACTTTTCGCCTGTCTAGATTCTGCAAACGCTTTATTCTTTCGCTATCATATTTGATATCCTCATCACGTATTCGCAGTTTCTTCACAATTTTCCCCCTGGAGAGTAATAAATAGCCTCAGACAGCATTAACGAAGCATCCAGATAGCAGCAGCAAGTTATCTGTGCTACAACTGCATTAGATAGAGTAACACGGCGAGATTGCGATAAAACTTGAACAGATATGAGTGAATTGCAAATTCGAAAACAAACCCTAATTCTGTATCTGTCGAAAATGTTTCAGTATTTCGATTTTCCATTACATTTACTGAAATAAGTTTTATAAAAAATATAATCTACCATTAAAAAGCGCATATGAAAAAAAGCGGTCCGATTTAAAACGGAACGACAGAAAATCTAAATGATACAGTTCCCCAGAAAATCACTTCAAAATTCGCACCGTCTTTCCGCATATCAAATTGGTTAAAGCAATAAAAATTTCCAAAAATAAAAAAATAATATAATCATTACAATCCAAATTGACGTCGCTGGTAATGGGATCTTTGTTTGTTTTACGATGATCATTCTCTTCAACATCGACTGCGATATCGCCAGAATGTTTTTCAACGCAAAAACGATTTTTTTTCAGGGGCTAAAAATACACAAAAAAGAAATCGAGCACATGAGGCTTTCCAACGGAATGGTTGCTGTCCATCAATATCATTTATCAAAATTACTGGGAAGCTCTAAGGGTTTTCTAGCTCTAATTACCTTCATAATAATAGTTAAGTAAAAATTCCTATGAATTTTTATTTGGATCAAAAGAAAAGATAGTAATGGAACCTCAATGTTATCGATATTCTTTGGTGCCTTGTCACCGGGCTCCTTCAATAGTTCATTATTTTTTTCTGTTGCCGCAAACTTTCTCGCTTCGCGTGCCATCTGACTTCTTTCTTCCATCATTAATGTTCGTTCAAAGTCAGCTCGTGATATATTAGGATCGCTTAGTACGTTCACCTAAGAATAACACCATGTTAAAACAAACCTATATTGTTGCTCATTTGTCTCTTCCTAATTTTTCAGCACCACTGGCCTAATCGATTTTCGAATGCAATAAGCACATAATAATGAGTTCACATATTTGAAAATGTAAACCTGCACAGTAGCGTCAATGCGCATTGCTTTCAAATAGAAATTAATTCTGTCAGTCATTTCTTCCTTTTCTTCATTATCACGAGCAATACCAATGACGCGCAATTGACATCCACGCCAAACCTGAACATATGATCTCAATTTTCGAATCGTTCATTACATAAAAGAATATTTTAACACTTAAATGTCGCAGATGAATTTTTTGCTCGGTATATTTAGCATAAATTGTCTTTTTCACTCATTAGCAAAACAATTCGCATTCACAGCACACCAGAAGCGAGTTTCTATTGCGCTAACTTCTATTGATTCTTGAATAAAATGCTAACCTTATGATTCAATAACAAATGGGCAATTAACCCAAGAAAGCCTCGATCACGAATTATCCAATATGCGTCGACATAACCATCCTTTACCGGTTCATTTATGTAGGGAAAATGTGATATATCTTTGGCCACAAGAAGACACATTTTCATGACATATCCAGCATGTAATTTGTCTGAAATCGCTTGTAAAATGCAAGATTAAAATAAAAAGATTCTAAAACAAATCTCGGTTCTTTTTGTATGTAACATTACAAATTTTGAATATTTTTCACTTGTAAATGATAATAAGTAATTTAAAGCCGAGACCTGTTAGCAAGTTATTAACTCAGGGATGGCACAATTTTAAGCTTGATATGGTTATCTGAGGGTAATTTCTCTTAGAGACAAAAATAAATTTTTCAGATAACATGCAAAGGAAAGGGATTCTTAAAAAAAAAAACAGAATTTGGAGAGAAATACTAGCCCACAAATGTTGAATATTCTGAATCGGATGGTTCAGATAGCCAATTTGAGCCATATTTCGGCCATTTCAATAGCAGCGTATTCGGACAAAGAGCACCAACTCCAGTACTTTGGATAACTGTCGAAATACTCCCACAGATCTGAAGCAAAATAAGGCTTCACAGACCTTCTAGATTATTATAAATTACATGAATATAGCTCAAGAACTATGCGCTTTCTTTCCCATTACATCATCTATACTTTGAAGCGATATTTGTTAATACCTGAGATTCGCCATACACAAGAGTTTTCGCAAACCCACGAAGTTTTGCTTCTTTCATATATCCTTTTAATCGCCTTCGTATCTAGAAAAAATATGATTACATTTTCTCCTTTTGATAATTGCTTTTGATAATTGATAATTGCTTTGTACATTATTTTTATCATTGCCATACCCCTCTACATCTCGAAAAAAAAAACAATTATCAGCAGTTGTTGTCAAATATAAATGTTTTATACTCAATAAAGATAATGAAAAGCTGATGAAACTGAAACGAATTTTAAAAAATGACGGTTCCAGTAAAAGTATAAGATCGGATCATTTACCTCATTGGCGTTATTTTGATCATCCTCATCAAAAGGATTACCACGGAGGAATGCGACGACCACGCACAATCCTTGGCTCGCTTTCAGCTGCGATGCCAAATGAAGCAATCGCTTGTGACGTAAGTCAGTTTGATCATCCTGCCACTTAAGTGCAAAAAGAAGAAGCAACTGCGGCCTTAATACGTGATATACTTCAATTACTGATAATATTTAGAGAAAATGTAGAAGTAAGAGGTTAGATGGTTCATAAATAATGGCAACAAGGACTGACGGACATATGTACCTGAAGTAACCACCTGAAATCTTTTGCATGTGACGCTTCGCTATCATCAATCGTTAACAAAGCCTTCTGTGCGGTTGAAATTGATACAGCCCGCATTCCATTGCCCCACTCTTTGTTTGCCCTAAATTATGTTTTCAATTTTTGACCACTGAACAAGGTTAATGTATATGGAACAAACATCCATCTCTTCAAATATCTAGTTTTCAATGATTACCTTCTAATATAATTATCAAACAACAGGCAAAATATGAATGAAAGTGAGGTATAAATGCTTGATCACATTTTTGATGGAAATGCTGATAATATCTTTATAGCGAGGATCTGAGCAACAATTTGAATTGAATAATGAAATAGCAAATAAAATACCCTCTGTATTCCGTATATTTATAAAGCGAAAAACAAAGGAGGCATGAAACGATTGCATAGTCCCAATGCGTCGTGAACATGATGAAAAAGCATAGAAAAGCGCCAAGCAGAGCGACTGACCTGAAGTACAATCTTTCTCAGCGTATACAATACAACTACCATTTATTCCAGTGAAGTAGGTTTATTTTTATACTGAAATTTTCATAAGTTGGAATTATAGAAACATTATTGATTTAATATTAAATGAAAGGGATAATGAATATATGTTATATGCTATATGCTATATAGGAATATATGCTATATGCTATATATATCTCATCATGCTTCGATATTATCCAATCATTGCTTTTGCCCAAGTTTGACAGATTTTATGAAGGTGACACTTACCAGTGATAATATTTATAACGTGGTCTCCAGTTAGGTGCCTTGACAATAGAATGCATTGCACAGATAACATTAATAAACGCATAACACATCAAGAAGAAGAAATCAACGACAGCAGCAATATGATCCATTGCACCAAGAAGTATTGCTAATTCAGCAATCAGTGTTGTTACCAATAACCTACAATAGATGCTTTCAAAGCAATAAATAAAAGTATACTATCTTGCAATATATATTTTAAAAAATCAGTCGAAATCATTGACCTGAAAATATATACAAGAGAAGTGTGACTTAAATTATGAGAACACATTTTAAAAACTGTTACTAATATAGGATGAATTAGTTCAGACATGTTAAACGCAGAGTCCACTGTGATCGTATATAGCGATGAGTAAGCATATTCCTTTCTTTTACTACGATAGTATGTGCAAAGAATCGCAATTTTTAAACAGAAACTAAGTACCCATTCTAATGAAGATGATCAGCTAATTCGATTGTTTGGATTAACAAAAATATTTAGTACATACCCGTGGAAAGGCTCATTTCTTTTTGTCAGTTTCCTGAAACTCTTCAATTCTGGTACCACTTCATCTTGTGCTATGCATTGAAGTAAACGAGGTGCGCCTAAAATGAAGGATTACACATAGATATGATGACAGTAATAATTTGTTATAAAGTATTTAATTTTTTTGGAGGAAATAAATATTCTGATGACACCGAATTATGCATGCGAACATTATTCCGAGAACGTTAACTGAAATGAAGGTAGTAGCAACGATTATAACGATGATGAACATTATAGGATGGACCTAAAATTCATGAAAAGTACCGAGAAGAAACACATACTGCACAAACACTGAAGAGCAGCTCCAAATGTCGAAGTAAACGAGCCAATTAACAATATCCAGTGGCTTGGCCATGCCAAATTCGCTACAACCATACTACCTGCCATCGACGCTCCATACCTTTAAACACACAAGACTTATTTAGAATTTAAGTGCTATCTCACAATACAAATATATTCAATGCCAGATTAGATAAGTAAGTACAAAAGATGGAAACGTATATAGTTACATGGTACTTACTTATCCCGTAAGACATCTCCGTCGATTGATGCACCAAAGGTAAAAGCAAGTGCAAAGTAGATGAATGAAGTGGTCAACTGCGCTCCCAATGTACCTGATGGTATTGATTTTTGGGCATTTTTGAGATCACCTGGAAATTTCTACTTATCTCATTTTCCTTTTAAAAGCCATTTAGGTGAATAAAAAGATATAAGTTCTAAGTAATCATTTTTTTGGTTAGCCAATGTATTCTGAAAAATAAAAGGAAATAATACCGCTCATGTTAGCTCCTGTTAAAATCCCAGTAACTGCCGGAAAATAAATAGCCAGTAATACGAAGAATGTAGTTTTCACATCTTGGTACACTTCTACACGAATATTTGCTGCCTTTTCGGGCTTGTATTCATCAGCTTTCATATAATGAGTTGCTTTCAAATTTTCTGCAAACAAAAATCAAGAATGACAACTGGCAAAGGAACTAATACGAAATTCGATTCCAAATACTAATTAAAGAAAATATTGAGAAAGGGAAAAGGTTAGAAACTGAAAGCAACCTTTTAGAACACCTCCTGTAAAACCGGGATAACCATTCACACATCTAATGGGCAAGAAACATGTTCCATTGCTGCAATATTCCGTAACACTCCTACTTCTGAAAACAAAATTTCATAGCGTATAATGTGCATCAAAAAAGCATTTGTCTGAAAACAGCTTTCTAATATCTGATACCACTTTAACAAAATGCTGCCATTAACCAAGAAAATTGCGGTGTTATTAACAATACAATTTTTATTCAAAGTTATTTAAAACTGAAACTTCAAAATCACGTCTTTATCAAAGTTGAAAGTAACTTATCAAAACGATCATGGTGCAGGACCCAGTCCACGCTGAGAACTTGATACACATTTTTCCAGCTTCTCCTCGTTAGATTATACTTATGACATAGTTGAAGCTTTTAGGTTATCTATATTTTTATTTTTTCATTAAAAATATACGAATTTCTATAATTATGAAGAACTTACATATATCTTTCATTGCAATATCTGCAAATGTGAATAATTGAGATATTTTGCGGCATGAATACTTGTGCTTGCAATAAATGGTCGCCAATTTTACATACCCTGAAGCAAGAGACAGACATTAGCTGTATATTTTACTTCTTTTTTCTCAACCTATTACAAGATTAACTATAATTTCAGAAGTTATTGGTGAAAAGATTTCATCATAATCATAAAGATTTCATCAGACATCACTTAAATCAGTCCACGTAAACATCCGTCAGTGACAAAAAAACAATTTCAAACCTTTGTCCACTCTCTGGACTGACTGATTTTTCGATTCCACCAGCGAAACAGGATAATATTGATAAAATAACACATAAAAGTGAGATCTGAAGGTAACAAAATATCAAGGTTACGGTAATGACATCAGTAGTGAAAATTACAAAACTTAACACAACATTTCTAAAGAATATGAAAATCACAAGCATACCGGCGCAAAAAGCTGCACAAATCGTACACCCATTGCTACAACAACAAATTCAAGCAATAGTAATAATGTAGCATATATTCGAAAGTTATGTGACATCATACCAAACATGTCTGTAGATAGGCAATAAATTATACCATAGTAGCTTGGTGTTCATAAAACTTTCTTGTTTTGTGCTAAGCTTAATGAAAGAAAAAATGCACCATAAAATCATAGAAGAAAGGACCTGAACAGTGAAATTACTGTTCATTAAATAAATGATAAACTGAGTTCCGATTTTCCAATGATGTCTTCTAAGCGAGCATATCTATGATTTTTGAGAACTCCGTTCATTTCCAATACTCCGTGATATACTTGCAGGCATATGAAGTATATTACGGAGTATTGGAAATGAAATGAAAGCTAACGTTTATATTGTATCATCAGCAGTTAACAATGTTGAAAATAAAACAGAAAACTCTCAAAAGGTAACCTGTTTGTGATTGTACTTCTCTGCCGCCAATTGTAAGATCAGGATATATATAAAACTGAAAAATCGATGAGATTTCATTTTTTTGATGGAAATCGATTAATACCAAAAAACTGAATGAATAAAATTTGTTTTAAATTAAAATAATGCTAATCTTGGAGTCAGTAACCACACTCAGAACAGTTATTGTTAATATATAATAATACATACCAATAAAATTTCAACTCCACCGACCAGATACATAGATGCAGCAACTGCATTTCCAAGGTAGAAGAGTATGCCTATGGCTGTACCAAATTCCGTTCCAAGATTTCGCGACAACATGTAATAGGCTCCACCACTTTTGATTTCTCCATTTGTAGCTATTGCTGATAAACTGATGCTGGTGATAAAAGTCTAGAGTGAACAATTGCAAACAACTTGTAATAAATATAAGTGGATACTATGATGTTCACTAACGGTGTCTTATAGAAATAAGTGAAGGTTTCCGAAAAAGTAGAGTGAGACTGAAGAACCAACGTACCACAATCTATAGTTGTATAAGGATTGAGCTGAGAGCAGAAGAGACAATTACCAATGATTACTTAATATTAGTTTGATGGATAGTAGGAAGGATACTTCAATTTTTCCTCCATCATCTTTACAAGAAAAACCTAACTGATGATGAAAGAATTCATTAGTGTGAAAATAGAACATACAGTTAAACAACACAGTGTAAGAAGTAGAGATGCTTGTGATATACCAGCAATTCCAACAATCCAGAAAAGACGTATGAACATGGTTACACCCAAGATATGCTGAACTGTTGGCAAATATACACCAAATAATGTACCCAAATTTGCTGACTGAAAATTTTCCATTTTTGCAAAACTTCTATTAAAATTGCAAATAATATTTGTATGACATAGCATTACTAATACCAGTAATATTTTCAGCATATAGCAGAGATAGTAGAAGGTAGGATGCGAAAAATGGCCAACTATGTCCTCCGAGAAAATGGCAAAAAATCAATGGTTCTTTCAACCCACATCTGATCGAACTATTATGGGTAGTGGTTCGAGCTCAACATATAAATCAAAAAAGTATTCTTCTAGATTCAATTCTGCAAACTTACTTTTACAGATCTTTCAAGTGCCTGAGGTTGCGTAAAAACCTTCAAGTATTGAGAGAACAGCTCGGCCGCTGTATCCTCGAAAAGCTCCAAATTTGTATGCCCCATGCTTGGTTTAACTGTATCACCATTCGCTGAAGATGTTTCCTCATCTGATATAAATAACTCTTCTGTAAGTAACTTGTCTATATACAAATGAAATATGAGAATTGAAGAGATTGCAGCAAATGTGCTTACAGCAATACGACATTATCTTTGATTTAAATTGTTCTGATGAAGGGCAAGAACTGGTCATTTAGTGTACAGGTCATCAAAACTAGAAACATCTCGCCTATTCAACTGAGATAAGCAATTAGTGATTTCATTTATACATCGATACTATCAATTGTCGTATTTGTGAAACATTTGTATTTACTACAAATTTGGCAAAAGATAAAGTAAATGTTTAAGGTTATTTATGCCTAAAATGATATGAAGCTAAAATCAAGCTAAACTTTCTCATCCAGAAAATAACCGATAAACAGTTAAAGTGATTAAATGCTATTTTATTTATCAATCATTTAATCTTAATGAATATATTTGATAACAAACCTTTGCTAGTATCATCCATGGATAAAAGTAATGAAACGCCTTCATGGAAATCATCATCTTGTGTTGCTCGTAACGCAACTCCAGCTTCAGCACGATGATCAGCAATTTGCAGTGGAATTTCTGTCGTTACAGAATTTTCCACTAAACTGACCTTTTCGCTGCTATTCTCGTTAAAATGATCCGATATATTATCCATTGATACCTGAATATAAGAAGATAGAAAGAAGACATGTGATCTGTAATGTCAAAAAGAAAAGTGAGAGCAAAAATCATGCATTAAGATATCGACTTATCAATCTGGCTTGAAGGAGAGAAATAGCGATGCTGAATATTTGCAAAAATGATTATCACGAAAACACAAATCATTCTCAAACATACAATTAACGAGAATAAAATTAGTCTAGGCTATTAACATGGAATAATTGGTTGCCTAGGCAAATATTTTCTCTAACTTACCTGACTCTTACTCACCGCGCTTCTTCAAATAAAACATTAAATATATAATTACATATGTTTCTCTTTATATTTGTCACTAAATTCAGTGTACATAAATTTATAGATAATGGTAAATTACGGTTTGCCTTTTATGTAAATTTAGGAAAATTATCAGGAAACAATGGGTACGTAATGTCACATATATGTTACGTTTTAGCGATCTTCTGCATAACTAAGTCTAATATGTTGCACATATACATGTATCTATCGCTTATTTCATACTGTATTATATATTGCTTGCTCTAACTTCTACTGCTATATTTAACATTTAAATTTCATATCTGTTTCAGAATTATTTCCTTTGTGCAACAATGTCTACGCTTTATATATTATTCATTCAAAAGTTTTTCAGTTTATATTCGTTTAAAAATAATATTTATATCAATAGGTATTACTAATCTTTACAGTATATTTGAATGAATCAAGTATTTCACTGTATGCATGTAAGGATACATTATACTTGAATGATAATTGTATCCTTACAGTATACTTAAAGTGCTGTAGTAAGTTACGATGAGTTTTATACGTTGGATGAAGTCATTTCGTTTTTTTTCACTGCACATGATAATTATTAATGAAAATATTCAGTCGGAAAATGGCAAACAATCGATTGTTAACAAGTATGAATAAGATTGAATCCGGAGAACCGGAATATATAGGATCTAAAATTGGGATATTGTAATTGTACCTCAACTACAATAACAATAACAATCATTTTGATACCAATAAGGAGTGAGTATATGCAAAACTGGAAATGTGCTAAATCAAAGAGAGCTTGAGGAAGCGATGCAGGACGTGGTGTAAGGATATTATGCATGAGTAACATTTTATGCTATCCGTAAAGGATGTTGTGTCTCAGATGAGTTGTCCATGTAATTTGTCGTGTTCAATGTTTCTAAACTATAGAAGGGATTCCGGTCAATAAAAACCAGAAATCCTTTTTTTTAATTTTTATTACTCTATTTCAATTTGCAAACAAATTTATTTACGCATTGAAATTGAGTATTGGATCGACTGGCTCATGTTTATACATCGCAAGGTGTGTTTCAATTCAAATTTTCATTAGTTTCAGGCAAAAATATTAAGCAAAATCGTGGATGCGCAGGTAATTCAATAAAATAGAAAGTATATAATAGGTTGATCATCGAATATTTTCTTTCAAAATTCTAATTTCGATTTATTCAATTCCAATCACAAATGGACTTAGTTTTAATTTCGTCACAATGTAACCGTATTGTAACATATACAGATACTGATATCAACCTAATTTACTATTATTGATAAAAGCTGGACTTATTGTTATCAGTTTAAGAAGAAAGAAAGTTCAGGAATAAGAATCAAATTTAGGTATAAATTATAAAAATAAAGATTTTAGGCTAATTTTATTAGGAGGTTTTTGACAATGAAAATCACAATATTTTCGGCTTTTTCTTTCTAATCCTTAGCTCAAATTTAGACTTAAATCTTTTAATTTTTTTCTAAAATTCTCAGCTTTTAAAATTCTAAATCCATTCCATTTTTTTTTCACTTTTATTTCAAAAAAAAAAGATATATAAAGTGCAAGAAGAAAAAGCTGGCTGTAAGGAAAATAAGTGAAGAAGAAGAAATTGTTAATGGATGTATGTGTATTAAATGGTAAACAAGCAAAAATTGAAGAGAGCAATAAAAAGGAATGAAGAGATTAATAAATGTGCTAATACTTTTGTTTAATATTAGTTGAATAAAATATTTAAGCATAAGAAATCTAAGTGTTTTTAAATTTTCAAAAATTCCTATTCAATATAAGAGGAAGCTGTCGGAAAAATGAGAAGAAAGAGATTCAATTTTCTAAAAAAGAGGAAAAGGATAGAACATCTGCCTATCGATCAATCTATATGGAAGGAATACCGTTTAAAAATGAAAGATGAAATAGTCGTCGTCGTTGTGTCGTGTTATATGTCTTATTTCATTTTTTAATAGATATTTAATGATTCATGAATTGTATTCATAAAAAATCCATTCCAACATTTGAAATTACTATATCGGATGAGAAATAATAAAATTCGGGGAAAGAAAAAATCTAAATTTATAGTTTAAGAATACGAAAAGATGCGTCTTTATGTCTCGGAAAAGTTGGCAAAGAATAGAAGTTTCATCGTTTCTCATTTCTTTCTTGAAAGTCATCATTTTAGGAAATATTAGGCTAATGTTATCTTACAAAAAAAATTGCTTAGGTTAGGAAATAATGAGAGTATATAGAAATTTACAAAATATCGATTAGTTTTGTTATTTAAATATATTATCTCCAGTACACTAATGAAAATCGATTAGCCAAAATAATTCGATCCTTTAATAAATTTTGATTATAATATTGATATTTATCATGTGAGTTCAATGACAGCCGTTTCAATTTCATGCGTCAGTTGTTATGTGAATTACTTATCGCATGAAAACGATTCTAATAAAAATCGTAAAATGATATGTGAAAGCAATCTATGGCCTAACGCTAAACCACACAAAAAAAAGTGATGAAATTTGAAACTTTGCAATTATTTCACTATTTATGTTTCTAATAATTTCTCATTATTTTAGTCCTCCCCCCTTTGCTCCTTCATTTATTTTCTTCATTTCATTTAAATTGTATTATAATTAATTTTATTTAATTTGTATTATAACTGTATTATAATTAAATTGTATTATAATTAGCGATTGCTACAAAATATTACCAATCATTTTTTTAAACAATTTAAAAAAAGATGGTAAATAAAATAAGACAAAAGGAGTAACAGAGTCGGCTTACTTCAAAGTAGCATTTCGTACCACTCATTGCAAACATAACTTGAGATATTTGACATTGCAGTATGCGTACAATATGCTTAAAATATCATTTCTTCTTAACATATTCTAACATACCTTCCTTTAAAATTAATTTTCTTTTTCAATTTCAAGGATAAGAGTTAATGTTATCAGTGGAAAAATTCTCATAAATTATTTAACATCTTATCAATTAGATTGTTTAATTAACTAAAGCTCTATTTTAACTCCAATATCAGAAGGATTAAAAAATGGAGTAAAACGAAGATTAGATGAAAAGCTTTCTCTTTGTCTTCCATAAATTGATGAACGATGAACACATAAACAATAGATGGAAATTCCTCGGAAAAAAAAAGATTATCTGTCATTTTCTCTCCTTTAGAATAAACGATGATGAGAGCCATTAACAAAAATATCTGTGATAAATGTGAAGAGATGAAAAGTGGAAAGTGAAGTGTTTTTGATGAGAGATGAAGAAGATAAAATAGGCGCAAATGGAATGCTATCATATTTAAACCTCAAATTCGTTTTTCCTCAAAATCTGTCAAAATTTCGTATTGCAGAAAATTTGACTTTTAGCATTATTCCTGCCTTCAGAAGACAAATGAACTTCTGCAATCAACCTAACTGTAATTCTTCCATATATAAAATCAAAAACTACTTGACACACAAAAAATTACATGACCTTTTAAGATCTGAAATATGCTTTACATATTTCAGGTATAATATTGGTTAAGAAGAATGACTAAACCAGCTTCATTGGAGAGAGAAATGAAATGAAATGAACTACCCCAAAAAATAACTATTAATTTCTTCTATGTTAGTTAGTTCTTATTAAGATCGGAATCGATTTCATAAATAGACACAAACTAAATAACAGCTTCTGACAGTGGGCTAACAGCATTAATTTTCTAAACTGGCTTTTTTCCTGGATGTTCTATCTATCCAGCTGTTTGTTTCTTTTAGAGGTTGTTTGATAAGCAAAAAAGGACGATAGAGAAGCGACAAGCAATGATGACTTCATAAATATTTCAGTTGTCGCCCAAAAATAGTTAATGATAAGAGAAACTCGGCAAGCAATAAAAGAAATTTGGAATTGCTAATATTTTCCATTTGTTTAATAGATCATAGCTAATGCTTTATGAAAATGTTCGAAAACAATTTGAAATTAATTTTTAAATTTAATTAAATTGCATTATCTTAGGCAGATCTTGGAACTTATAAAGATATATCCCACTTTTTTCTACATTATTTGTCATTATTCTTTCAGTACGATGAAATATCCAAATATCGAAGATATTATGTAAATTATATGTGTGGCAAAGAGATCACTAAGTGTAATCAAAATCAAAAGATATGCTTAAGTCTCAAATATTCAGATGATGGAATTAAAAGTGAATAAGTAAAAATATGAGAATATGAAATGTGAGGTAAGATCTTAGATATAATATGTAATAAATAACATGTTATTTTTAAATAATATCTTTTTAACAAATAGAAAACTTTTAAAAACGATTATGGATGGTTTTGATAACAAAACTGATAATCAGTTAGAAATTCCATGATATTTTTTCATTCTTCTACACGAAAAATACTATTAATATGGTAATTATAATTACTGATAAATTTGATGAAAAGTTATGGAATAATAAGAAGTGAAAATTATTGCATCTGTCAATAAACTTGAAGAAAAAGCCTAAAAGATGAAGATGGATAGATAATCTGTCACTGCTGAAAACGGCTGATTGAAAAGAGGGAAACATTTAAATGGACCAAAAGGCAGTGTATAGATATGATTAGGCATGGTAATGATGCTGCACCGGATGATTTTGCTTAGACGCAGATCGTTCGTTCGTTCATATATTACACTTCTCTTTGAATTACAACGAAATGAACCATGAAAAGCGATTTTTCACTTCAGCAAATTTATAGTTACTCTAATCAATTCTTTTAAAACAATTATTCTAGAAATCGATATTAAAATGAAAAAATATTTTTAGCATTAAAGAATGTTTAATTTTTGAGAAATGTAATTGACGAGATAATTTTGTTGGATATGGGCCATAAAACATCATATCAGAATTACCGTAATACAACTAATATCATTAATTTTCTAAGAAGTTAAAAGAAATCCATTTATCATAAATAACTTCAGGATGTAATAAAACACAAATGAATTTGAAACAATATAAAATCTATAAAATGAGATAGTTGAAAAGATAGATGGAATGATGATGAGAGCAAAGTCAAGTATCTGGCTATTATAATTATCAACTTCCATCTGCTCAGTGATGAAATGGTTGTTGGTTGACTTGAATAATCAATGAATGAGTCATTCACTATTTTTATAATGAAAAGAATTATAACGTGAATGAAGTTTACACTAGACTAATATCGTCAGTGACGAATAACTTGAATGACGTTGACATTAGACTAATACCGTGAGTGACGGATAACGTGAATGACATTGACATTAGACTAATATCGCCATGCAAGACTTTGATGGTCGCTTGGATGAAATATGGTATGTCATGTCGAGAGAAAAAATAAGCTTAATTTAACCGAAGGTAAACCTAGAAGTATTATACACACTCAAGCGTACATACATACACACATATACATACACATACACACACATATATATATACGCAGGATAGATGACGTTAATGCTTCATATTCAAAGAGCAGAGAGTAGGATACTGAGAAAAGTAATGAATGACCTGCCTACTACAATGATTCATTTCGAAAATGCAATAATGCGTCAGCTTGCATCATTTTTGTCTTATTTGAATGATGCATATTCATTTAAGCAAAAAGATAGCAATAATATTTGTGATGGAATTGTTACTTTCAATTCTTTTGAAATTATTTAATTCTAACCTTGAATTAAATGAATATGAATGGTGCAGAAAATGAAGAAATGATTGAACAACTAATTGTGACAGCTGTGATCAATCAATGATCAGCAACACTGAAATATGCTCATAAGGAACTATCAAATTCAATCTAAATCGTTTTTAAGGCGTGCTCTTTCAAAATCCATCGCAAGCGATTGGACGGATTTTAGTAGCTTCTCCAAAATATTGTGAAATTTTTTTCAACTGCTAATTTCGACTCAACAAAACATCCGGAAACAAGAAGATGTATGTTTTACCGGATTCATTAATCTCTATATCTTACTGATTAATGTTAACTTATTAATCCTCTTTGTAACATCTAAAAATTTAAGTGTGAATTTTGAAAGATTTTGGTTATTTCAGTGGAAACATAACCATACTCCTGTACTATTTTAATAGTTTATAAGAGTTAAACGCAAGCAAAATTATTTATTTGGAAGATATATTTAGCATTGAATAAGATTTACACTAAATAATCACATTATTAACAATATATCATCCCTGTACTTGTGAAGTGACCTTTCGAGGAGCATTTAAATTACGCGGTAAATTCTTTGTGCTCTGTTGCTGTCGTTGTTGATATTGTTGCTGTAATTTCGATTGTTCCTGTTAAATAACGATTTAATAAAATTATCGTAGAAATCATTAGTGTGCCTTCCTTTTTTTCTACAAGTATCAAATATTTTCTGATAACTAAGGATGAATTACTAAAATTAAATAAAATTTTAATATTATTTACAGCTAATTCAAATGATGCCTATCTTCGGGGGTATAAACATTATTAGTCTTCGTTTCAATTTTATGTTCTTTTTTTAAAATCGCCATAAATTGTTGGCATCATTCGTTATTCACAAAAATAAAAGTAGCTGTATGTTGAAATCATTTTGAGAATATTTCGGGAAGAAATTTAATGCTTTAAATATCTTGAGAAAAAATACCTTTTTTGAGAAATCAATATGACGACGCTTAAGTTTCTCAGTTGCAATTGAAGAATTATCAGGAGATGAAGTTATTGAGGTCTGAATTCCAGTACGAATGCGCATAGGTGATGCTGTTGATGATTGAGGCAATTTAGCAACAGATTTCATTAGTCTGTGTGTAATACTTGCCGATGATTCCGAATTACCTTTTGCATATTTCATTTTATTCTATAAGAGGAAATTTTGCTGATGTGTAATTTTCGAAAAAAAAAGGAACTTAAGGTTTTACTATATGAAATAAATTGGCCAAGTTTGTTGAGATGGAAATTAACCTGCGCTCCATGAGTTGATGCAGTTCCTTCTGTAACTGATTCTGAGGTGCTTCGAGCTTGGCTTTGCTTTAACATTGGCCTTACTATTGACTTTGGCTTATTTCTTATCTGCAATAAACTTCATTCACTTGTATTAAATGATTAAGAAACTTTCGCAGGACTTGCTTCTATTAGCGGTTACCTTGTCCAAAGTGCACTTAAGTTCAAATAAATGGCTCATACACTTAGACAATTGTTATGAATTCTTAGGATTAGTAGAATGATGCCATTAATGGGTACTTGTTGGAAGGGAATTTTCGGAGAAATTTAAAATTCCTTTATTTGGCATTTATGGAGATTAATTAGTTAGTTTAGTTTGAAGACAAATGAATGTCATCTCAAAGTTCTCCTCTTCCCATTAGCATCTAATCAATCAAAAACTGACCTTTTCAACCGTTAGATTTGATGCTGCATCGATATTTGGTAAAGCTATCTGATTTTGCATTGTTGCAATTACTGTATGCGTTTTTTGCCGTTCAAACAACTATCAAAAAACTTTTTTTTTGTTGAAAAATGGAAGTTTTAAATTCAAAAAAGTAAAATTATATAATGAATTTTGATTGCCACTAATTCTGTTTGTAATTCCTTAATAAGATTTGATCGTGCAGTTCAAATTCTGGATATGTGGAAATACTTTAAAGAGTTTGATTAGAAATGATTTCGAATAGGAATACTCATATATGAATGAGTACTACAACGATCAACCTATACAAGAATTGAAATTTTGTCTCATTCATTTTTATTTAAATATTTATAATGAACAAATAATTAATGAACCTTAAAATTGCCATCCTCATAATGTTTCTTATTTTCCGCCGAATTATCACTCACCGGAGCTGTTGTCCAGTGTCGTCTGGTCTTACTCTCTGAACTGCGCTCTTTTCGTCGTGGAATCTTTGTTTTATTTGAATTTAAATCCATATTTCGATCCACTTGATGTGATGCTGAATGAGTGGTGCGTTCCTTCATACTATGAGCTCTTCTATATATCTAAAACGCAAATATTATTTTAAAACATTTATTAATATGAAATAATAATAAAAATGTTGAAACATTTTACAATTCTGTTTGTAATGAATAAATGGATACCTTATCCTCAACTGGATCAGTGGTACATTGTGATTCGTGTGGTTCGTGCTCCTCCACAACCTTAATTCAATCATTTGCATTGAAAGTATTTTCTCGTTGAATTAAATTAATCAGAGAATTTGATTGGCAATTTTCTTTACCTTTTCACACAAAGAAAATAGTCGTGATCGATCTAACGATCGTGTCCTCTCCTTATAGTTGGCAACATTTATTACTGGTCCACCAGCACTGGATGATCGTTTGTATATCTAAAAAGAATTCCAATTTTTAAAATATTTAAAGTTTGCAGAAATTCCATCAACGTTTCACAATATCCTTACTCATTTAATTTTATACTAACGACATGAATGGCAATAAGAACACAAGAATACCTTATTCAGGCTTGAAAGTTTAGGCGGCGGAGCTCTGGCTTTACGCATTTCCACAAATAAACCACCTGTAATAATAATCTTACTGTAATAACAGCCTGTAATAACAACCTTATTTGATCTTTTTTAAAATATATTTCATTTTAATAACGAATGTGTAAAATTTTGAAGACGGAAACAGAAGATATGTGCTCAAGCAATTGAAAACAAAACTAACATTCCTGTATGCGACGCTGATCCTCCACACTTAACAGATTCCATGTTTTAGCTTTTACAACAGATGCCGCATAATGTAGCAAATGTTTATCGGTCAAGTCATGTAGTCGTCGGACCAATGCTATGAATCGCTACAATTAAAATATTTGGGAGCAAAAAAAGGTCTGAAACATTACACCGATACCTGCCATTTTCCGTAATAACAGAAATCTTCAGGAGGTTTCTGCTTTGAGTCTGAGCCGCCATCATATAATAAACAAATCCAATATAAGCTATGATTAATAAATATCCTAAGTTTACTGGAAGCAAAATATTTTGAAAAGAAATGATTTAATAGAATTTCAATTGAACACGTGAAAAATATGTAGATGGAAGTAAATGGCTAATTTTCTTGCCATATCATATTAAACGTCAATGTGTCGTCGATACAACGATTGTGCTACAAAACCAAAGTAACGATTTTAATCCCAAATCAATAACTTACTGAATTCCATTCATTATGATCAATTTGTTGTATAGGATTTTTACATACAGTTTGTTGACTGGCAATGGTTTTCAGCAAATCACTAAGATTAAGATATGTCTGTATGGCAATATCAGCTGACAGCGTATGCACCATTGGAGGGAATATATCTTCCAATACTAACAGATTTAGTGCCAAACCCTGTAAACTTCATTATAGTAAAAAAACTACTTTTAATTTTTTTAATTTAATTTTTTAATTCGCAAAATAATTGTGAGAGTTCTTCTAACTATTAGAATTGTGAATATAAATTTTTAATTTTATAAAATATCTTCCTCACTTATTTATATTTTGAAAATCATAATCATTTGAATGGTAGCAGTAACAGCTACAGCATACTTACCTTACCCTGCGCTTTAAAAGATTCAGATGCAACAACAAGATCGAATGATTGCAGTAAAAATTCCTGAGTGTATTCAATCAGATCATTTACCAAACATTTCACTGCTTCTGCGACCACAGCACTCGATTTCGATCGTGGTAATGATACCTGATTAAGAAGAAAGCAATCAGTTATCAATAATTACATTCTTTTCCACAAGATCCAAATGGAAACCAATTATAATTTGTTGTAGAATTATCAAAAAAATGAAAAAAATAGTAATAAACGTAAAACAGTTACTTGAAATTAAAGCAAAAGGGAATCCACAGACCTGAAGTCTCTGGCAACCCAATAATACATCTATCAACGATTCCTCATCCTGAATTTATAAATTATTTCCAATAAAATTTCATCATGGTTTTTAAGATAGTCAAAATTCTTGCTATATTCCAATTATATATTCACTTTATCAAATTGCTAGCTTTCCATGATCGCTTAATCTCATTTTAACACAAAATCTACCAATTCAATTGAAGCTAACATCGAAATGTCTTAAATTCGATGTACAAAAAGTGGCTTACAAGTTCTTGAACAATAGTTTCAAAACATTCGTTCTGCCAATGTGGATTCAGATGCATAAATACACGACCTTTCCAGATTCGTGAAAAATGTTTCGCTTGCCAGGATAGAGCCTAAAACAAAGAATTTTGAAAATTCTCATTCATTTCGTTGATAAAATGTGCAGAGACGTAAGAGAATCATTGTGACCTCTTTGTAAAGGGGTTGTAGAGAGCGTATTGCATTGAATTGTGGAAGAGCATCAAATACCGCCGATACACAGGTAGCACAAGGCTGCAATACATTTCAATTTTTACTTATACAGTTCGTTTTGTCATTGGTGCTGTTTGTAAAAATTTACTCAAACAATAGTGGCATAGATAATTACCTAATCTAATCAATTTTTTTGCATAATAATTGCAATAAAACTCACTCGATGGAAGAAATGACATTTAGTAGCTCGAAAATGAAATAAAATGACTTGAATAAGGCTTTCCATATTCAAATGAGTGGCCAGAGAAATAAGTTCCCAGACATCAACATCCTCACCAATTGATGTTAGGCCGCCATATAAAAACGATATAAAATAATGAACTGCAGTTCGAGAATACCTTAATTTATGAAATTAATTAATTTTAGCAAACAATATCCTGCTTGCTATCAAATTGATTGCAAGTAACTGATAGGACTATCAGTTAACAGTTATCCATTATTTTAAGTATTCACCATGCAGTTATTCATTTATCAGTTAATCGGTGCATACATCTCGTACTATCATTTAATAATTGCCACCTTCTCATTTTTAGGAAGTTTATTTATTAATTTAAACAACACTTGCCTAGTTATTTCCTTGTCATCAATATTAATCACTTACTCCTACAAATTATTTTAACATCTCAACTCTTCACTTTTTATTTCCATCAGCCGATAGAATTCAACTTGACAATTTATCAGTTAATCAATGCATCAAAAACTGATAGTTTACCCTTTCAATTCGATGCATTCATATTGTCGATTCACTAAATGATCTTTGAAATATGGACAAGTAGCTGATAAAATACACCTGAATTGTTGATAAAATCATAAAAAGACCAATTTCAATATTTGGAAATTAATTTCAAAAAATGCTCCATAAATACATCTAACAGAATGTTTTGAAAAAAGTTTTCATCGTAAAGTTAGGAATATATAATAGATTGAATTGTTGATAAACATTGGTAACAGATACAGAGCTATTAGCTGATATTATCATATAAATATTGACAAACCGATGTGCGAATAGCTCTCCATTATCAGTCTTGATAATAACATCCGTATCAATATTATTGAGATACATATTTAGGAGGTCTGCTGCTAACTTACATGAGGGATTTTTATCTGCGGTAAACACTGACACTAAATATTTTTTTTTAATTAATATAATTTCTATTATTAATTTCAATGATTTAAATTTGGAAATTAATAAATAATGAATAGTTGAAGTAGCGTTTCATTTTAACAAAGCCATTATAATAAATATTATTATGTAATTATAATGTATACAGTAATGAAGTATCGTTATTGTTCATGAAAGCACTAAATTGAATCTAATCATAAAGATGTCAAAATCGACATTTATCATACCGTCGTGACTAGGTGCTAGATCAATAGATGTTAACGAATTTAACGATGTCATCGATAATCGTTTAGCCATTATAGCACGACCACGAATACCTTCTGGTCCTGGAGCACTGTGCCACATTTCCGGATCGATATCACCTGAAAATCTTCACCTGAATAACTCAACAATGAGATTCAATTTTCGAATTGTATATTTGAATATTTGAAAATTAATTTATTTTGTTACATAGATATAAAAGGAATTCCAGAAGTAGTACTAAAAGTTGTAAAGAGAAACATGAAAAGAACCGAGACTAACCTCCTAGGCCAATAAACATCTGAAATATAGGCTTTCTTTGGGTCGATGTTAAAGATTCCATCGAAGTAGTATCATTAACAGTTGTTGTTGTTGTTGTACTGTTATTGCTTATACAGATAAATGATGCTAAAATAATGATGAATTGATTAAAGTTAACACTTTGAATGGAGAAAATGCATATTAAAGCAATAAGAAGACATAAATAGGCATGAAATGATAAAAAGTAAATTGCTTAAAATTTTTGAAAAAAAATTATAAAAATTTTAAAATGATTTTTCAAAACAGATCGGTGAAGCAACATTTTACCGGGATGAAATGAATGCCATAAGCAATTATTGCAACTATAAAAATTCATCTTCACACCGATCATGATAGATAAAATGATATCGATCTGAAAGTGTTTCTAAAACATGCTAGGAATAAAATAACGTACGACTAGGTGTATATTCTTTCAATGGATGTTCATTGGAATCTTCTCGAGTGAATGTGGTAGAACTTTCAAGTAATTCCGATGATGATACCGAGGTATACATTGGTGAATCCTTTATAGCTAATTCTTGAAATGATGTCATTTGCAGCAATCGACCGGCATTTTCTGTTGCCCCACTTACTTAAATTTTGTTTTACTTTATGTTATAGAAATATTTTGGATAAATATTTATCAGCATTAGAAGCTATATCATATTAAGCATAAACAGCTGTTGATACGACTAAATGTTTGTGATATGAAATAGTTGTGGGAAAATGGCTTAGGGAATGAGATATCAATTAATGAGCAGTGAAACTAATTTAAATATCATTCTTTCATCCTGCAAATGCATTCCATACTAAGGCCTTAAGAGTGAAAATATAAATTATAAAACAATTCTGGAATAAATCCAATAGAAATGCTCTTATTGAAATTATACTTAAATAATTTATTGCATGCCAAAGGTCAATTTCTTCATCCACTACTGAATTTTTTATCCTCAATTTTTTGTAATTATTAAAATATAATTTTATTTAATAAATTTTTGCACTGTAATATGAATGATGAAAAAACGTTTTGGTTTACAACATTTCAACTATACACTGTTCGATAATATGACACATTGATTAAAGGAAGTGACTATTTAAAAAATCCTATTGTTTGAGAGGTATCAGGCCATCTGGTTCAATTTATTTATCGAACAGCCTAATATGATAAATGTTTGACCTACTGAACCAAATTTAATCAGGCTTTTTGAATTGCCTGTAGTATGTTACTTTTAATGACGAAAAATTCAAATTTCCCCGAGTATTAGTTCTTACAACACAAATTTGAAGTGAATTTCAAGAATTTATTTAAAAAGTTTCCCATAAATCGGATCGGAATCATTTATATGATCAGTAATTTATTTAATTAGAAGACAACAATGACATGACATATTTTGTAGTATCACTTCATCTTTTTGAAGTCCAATAATTCTATAATTGATTAATATTTCAATAAGCTAAGAGTTTGGTGATATAAATAACACCTTCCCGTGTTTACATTTTAGAATAGTGGTGAGTTTAAATATATAATTCATTCATTCATTCATTCATTCATTCTCTAGGCTAATTTCCATTCCCCTGATAATTAGCCTAGGCCTTAAGTCTCTACCAATATTCATTTCATTTCATGTCATCAATACTATTAGCGTCTGTTTGGTGGAAACCGCTTCTCATTATTCTTCTTTTTCAACTGCAACTCTAAAATAGCTATTATGCCACTGATAAACTTTTAATCTTTTAAACCTTTACTTCCTCAATTTTACATTGTAAAGCATGCAAATTTATTTGCTTTTAATTTTGTTTTAGTCAACATACTACATTTTCTATTTAAGCCATCTAAATTTTAAATAACCTTAAAATTCTCAACTATTCAATTTAGAATTTTTTTAAGTTTTAATAATAGATTTATACATTTAAATCGGACTAGCGTTTTAGTTACTAATGTTTAGTTACTGATACGAAATAATTATTATCGCACTGAATAGCCAACTATGAAATAATTATTATCGCATCATTTGGTCAGTTAAATATGTGAAGTTAAATATGTGAAGGAATATAATTTCGCAAATAATAAAGTAAATGTAAAATTGTAGGAAATTTATGTATTTGTTAGAAATCAAATTTGTTTAGTAGAAATCTATCTTTCATATACATACATATATATTGTGCTTGAAAAAAATTATTCTTCAAGCATTTATACTTCAAGCATTTCAATTTTGTGTTTACATATAATAATGCATTTACATATTTCTCATGTTAACAGTCATATAATTATATTAAATGACCGTATTCAAACCCGTATTAACCATGTGTATGTGTGATTGATTGGGTACAATAATTTCTAAACGTTTCAATGAATCATCCCATATCGCAGTATCATTTACCTATTGATGTTCCCATTTCATCATTATCCATTTGTGACAAATTTTTCGTACTCATGTCCTCAAATTCGGCTGACTCATCCATATTGTAGGTATGATTCAATTTCTCATCGTCTGTAAGACCTAATTTATTCAGTCTCATGTTTATAAGAGAAGATAATAAGTATTAAGTAAATAAGCATATTATCATCTATCAGCTATTTTTCTTTTGCTCGATCAAATAAGGTAGGCAAAAGAAAATTTATAGCAATTTAATTTCTCACTTAATTTAATGTATGCATTATACAAGTTCGAAATTAATACCTTTGTTTTTGTTATTTTTTTTCTTGACAATAATAATTGAAATGGTAAAAAAAGAAACCTTTATCATCTTCTTTATCAATTATATCCTGCTGATCAATAAAACCACTTTCGGGTAGATGCGATGCTTCATCTTCCGTATACACAGCTCTATAAATAACTGGCACTAATAATTAATTTAATGATTATAAAGATAGCGGAAAGTTGAAAATCATTTTCAAATTATCCGTCATTCTAATTTCGATATTTATTCTGTATTTTTTGATTAGTCTCAATCGAAGAAAGAAAATATTAGCTCAATTTGAATTATTAATTTTAGAATTTTTATAACAAAAGCATTTATGATATTATCCTAAAGATGAAATAACTGTCAATTATAATTGAATTGTACATGAAAGAAACCGTATAAAAAATTTAAGGCCAGCAAAATCGATATCACCCACTGCAATTTCCAATATTCTATGATTGGCTTCATGAGAAGAAGCTTTTAAGGTTGGCTCAATATGCGTTTTGAAAAAGGTCGGAGCTCTTTGTCGTAAGATACATTGATGTGCTGGAAGTTTATTTCCATCTGCTGCAACCAATAATACATCCGCATGCTCAACATTTCCAACCTATAATTATTATATTTGATAGAAATTTAAAAATTAAAAAAAAGGAACTAATTCATATCTAAAATTATTTTTTGAAAATATTAAATGAAAACAAGGAATTGATGGAATATTGTTATAAACTTGTAATAAATGTAAATAAATAACTGAATGATACCAATATCATTCTGAAATCAATTTTCTACATATCTTCGTGACAAATTTAGAATTGCAATAATGAAGGATCCAAGTGGTATGAAATGGAAACATTATTATGAACAAAATTTATGCTTATCATTTCATTTCTAAATATATATCAACAGGATCATAAAGTGCAGCTGTACAATTAATAAAAGCTAACTGCCGCCCTATCATTGCCATTTTCGTAAGTTAGAAAGATTCATAGTTTAGTTTATCAAATATATGATTAAAACTACAAAAGAAATTGACCAAAAAAAAAACAGTCAAGGAATTAAGAATTTATTACTGTAATTGTTACAGATAGATTAGCTCGTTTAGGAAAACCAAATTTATATATCAATCGATTGTATTGATATACAATGGCGTAAATGGTTCAATTACAAAATTTAGCATATTTGTTATTTTGGTAGGAGAAAAAATACAATTATAATAAATTACCAATGTAGCCATATTTGCTCGTAATTGTTCGGCAAATTCAAATTGAATATGTTGACGTTGTACTTTATATTCCTTCCAAAACGCTGCTGAACAGCGCATCTATCATTCACTTAAACAGATGTTGTTAATTGAATATATTTGTGTTAAAATGAACGGAAGGAATATCAATGAGAAGCAGTATCGGACAATGGAAAATTGTTGCAATAGTAATAAAAATGATTTTCATAAATAAGGTTACGTTAATGAATAAGAAATTGAATTATGAATCATATCTTCATATCTTACAGGGTTCCTTTTTTTTAGGAAGTTCCAGAATAATCTGAATGAACTTCTAACATTCAAAATATAAGTTCATTCAAGTTCATTTCTTTTCTCATTATATATAAAAGATTTTACTTGAGAAAAAGCCGCTTGGATATTTGCGCATCTTTTGTGTTACTTGAAATAATTGATGAAAGGAAGCAAAATGGATGAGAAAGACAGAAAGCAGCGGGTGATTAAAATCAAGAATGAAGATGATAAAAGGTCAAGAATCAAGTGGTCAATTATGATAATTTGTTAATGAAAAAATTGAAATTAACGAGATGAAATTTAACGGAGGAGATAAGAAGGAATATATATAAAATTATTTTCTATTGTTTTTACTTTTTGCTGAACACAACACAACAATCGGATAGGAAGAAATATTGTAGGAAGTGAGAAGAGAAAAGGATTTTAACAATGCATAGATGGTAATTTTCAGATGAATAACTTCTTTTGAATTAATGAATAGCTCCAGTATAAATGATTTAATGAATAGCTACCAGTGATAAATGAATTAATGAATAGCTATCAGTGATAAATGAATTAATGAATAGCTATCAGTGACTTTATGTTATTCTATAATTTAAATTTTTACCAATATCTGAAATGATTGCTGATTCTATGAATTATTCTGTACACAATCATTACGGATTCCAATCAAACTATGTTTCACCATCCTTTAAAATGTGCTTCCTAATATTTGAGGAGCATTTTAAAACACATTGATATTGAGATAAGGTAAGAATACTTTTATCTTTCCATCGATCTATCCGTCCATCGATCAGCCTATTAGCCCATTGCGTCAGCCTATCGCCCAGCAACGACAAACATTAGCAATCTAACACAACAAATGCAATAATTACATTCCTTCATGAATTTCTAAAATTTCACACATTTTAGTATTGGCTAATAATACATATAAAGTTAAATGACATAAATGGCGCTGTCTTCTATTTAATTTCCCCGAAGTTTTGATGTACATAAAAGAAATTTTAGAAGCCGATATAGAAAGATCGATGATTGTTTTTCTTCTCTTCAATGAAAATCAATGATCGGTGTTAGAGAATTGAGAAGGAAAACAATCCATTTTGAAAGCAATTTAAAAGTTGATCAGAAGTTGAAATTGAAACTTAGTGAGAATACTACCGATGATCATAGTGTAAAAACCATTTTCACACACTGAATTATGTAATCTGTGTAAAATTACTTTAAAGAAAATATTGACAGCAATAATTACTTCACGGAATAATAGATAATTTAACATATATATAGTATTTAATGTGGAGAATGGTACCTGTTGGGACAATAATCGGTCATTACGATTATTATCCCGATAGATAATATGATGACGAAAATAAAACAGTATTGCAAGAATAATGAATTAAGAGCATTATTTTCAGAGTTTAGCAATTAAGATCATCTAAAATTGAATTTTTGAAATGAAAAATGTTATTTTGAAATAATATTTTTTAAATATTCGTTCTCAAAATTATAATATCCTCAAGTTTACAATTTATTTGGGATAATTTTATTTTAAAAAAGTATTTTTTAATTTTTTAAAATAGAAGTTAAAACGCTTTCTATAACTAACAGAATTTAATTATATCACATATATCATTAAAACGGATCTATTCGAGACTGTCAGTAAAATAAGAAATAATTGTTTAATTCAGATAGAATTCTTTGCACTCCTAAATCATTGATTATTTTTTTTCGAGATTACTTTCCTACTTTAAAATTGACAGCAGTCTAAAGAATTTAATTACATTTCAAAGAAATTTAGCAATTAATACATAGCATAAATTATATGCATTCTTTGTTACAATTGTAAGCATTACGTTTGTGTGCATTACTACAATCAGAAAAGTGTTTCCTGAAACGGTTGGAAGTAATGGATTGCTCACAAATAATATCGTTTGATAAATGACTTGATAAATGAATTGATGAAATTCATCAATTGAATGAACGATGCGACATGTGAATTTGATAATGAAAGCCAAGAGATGAATATAAAACTTTCAGTAATATTTTACAAATATCAGAGATAAGATTACGGAAATAACAGTGTCATGACAGCAGTGAAAAATGATGCTATCTAAATGACATCGGATAGCTAACAATGAATGAATAAAACAGCAAAGAAATTTCTACAGCAAATTTGAATTGATCATTTTAATGTTTCGGAAATTAATCACTAAGAAAAGATCCAAATTCAGTTTAATTTTGAGGAATAGCATTAGGATTGAATAACAATATGAAGGATTAAGTGGTAGGGAAAGTATCTCTTCTGATAGTGGGGAGCATTTGGTTACAGCGATATTATTGACAATGAAGATGACAGTTTTATCTAATCATATATTTTGTACGAAAAGTGAATAAGAGAAAAGATGAGAGTTCGTTTTATAGCTGGCCAAACAAATGAATTGGATCTAAAAATTTAGAGGAAAGGGGAGAGTAGGAGGAGAGAGAGAGATTGCAAATGTGACAATGGTAACCTATAAAAGCAAAGTGTCTCTTGGCCATGGATAGAGGAAGAGAAAAGAAATGACGCAAACAAGCCTATTTGGCCTCACATGACTCCATTTGAATCAATGCTGTACAAAATAAGTTTTTCTCTTCATGGCTATAACTAGATGAAAGAATGGATGTGAATGTGATATATGAAATTTTTTTTGAAGCCTTTTCCGATCAACATAATTAAACAAATATGTGTTTCGGTGTAAAGGTGCCGTAAATGAGATGATAAATGATAATATGTGACAGATGCAGATCAGTAAAAAAAGGAGTAGCAAGTATGTGACAATGATAATGATACGATATAGTTTCAAAACTTTTCATAAAAGTTAAAATTAACGGCTTTCAATTTTTGTCTGGATGATCGAGCTAATCAAAAATACAGTCGAAGTTTGGCAATTTTTAGCTCATTATTGAATTTCACGCTAATTAGAAGTAATCTGTTTCTGGACAACACCGCTAGATGAAAAGAAATATTAATTAATATGTGCCATTTTAAATCTTTCACATGTCAATTCTTATGTTTCATTTTTAAAAGTAATTTGACATCAGAAGAGGTATTCCTACTGTCTTTTTCATGTTATGATTTCGTGATTTCACAATTTCTGATTGACAAATGCGCTCACCTAAGTAACATTTCCTTTGTTGCTAAGTAATCAATTGATCTTCATTGTTGAACAAATGCTATGATTTATTAATTCATCAAATTTCTTGCCAATTATTTCTAATGCTAACAACAATGGGAATGCGTAAGGGGTAGTAATTAAACATTATGAAGCATTGTTTTTGGAGAGCATTGATTTGGCATAATCGAATATTTGAGTGTTGAATTTCTTCTTTATGAGAAGCTTTCTTCTTGGACATCATAGGATAATTTTGAGTGATTTATCAAAAGTAGAATTGGGGGATAGAAGGGAAAAATCCCCAAGATCAATATGGAGATTTTCCTTAACTCATTGGTAGGAGAGGGATACACTTGAATGCAAATGATAGTAGTTTAGTATAAAATCGAAATATGGAGACAATTTTTATTATCCGATAAAAAGTAAAGTAGAATCGAAGGAGTTATGCATTTATCATCTGACCTCTACGTATATATATATATAGAGTAGGAGTGTTTAGGAGTGTTTAGGAGACAGAGTAGGAGTGTTTACAACAAATACTCTGATAAAATTCTAGGATAGTATGGGAACATAGAAAAAAACTGTGTAAAGGAAGATCTGATTATAGCATAATGATTGAACGTAACGGGTTACTACCAGACCGGAAACATTTGCATATTCGTTTCCGATAATTTAATCATTAAAGATAAGCGTGGTAAAAAGAGATGAGAATTTGCTAAATTAGCGATCCATTGTGTAACATTCATTAAATTATAATCTATGTGATGAATTACATAGGTGAGAAATATTTCTGCGATACAAATTATTTTTATAATTAAACATATTTATTATAGTTATTTCCAATCTTGCGATATTCCCGATTAAATTCCTTCTGTAATTTCTGTAATAATTAAGTTTCTTCTGTAGGTTCCGTAATAATCCAGTAGCTTGAGCGAATTCGTTTTCCAACTTTTCTTCTACCAGTTCTTCTTATTGGTAGATTTCTTGCCAAAGAAATTCTTTGTTAGCGAGATATTGGATTGATTGTTTTTTGTTTGCAAGCCAATATCTTCCATTTTAATTCTTTCAATTTCAAACTTGCTATTCTTTCTTTGAATTCGATAAATTTTGAGACTTGAAACGGCTACGTTGATTTTGACAACTTCTTTGATATGCCACGCTAAGTTGTTGTTGGAATTCTTTTTGTAAGTATCGAAAACATATTGGAGTTTTGCATTTTCTAGATCGGATGGTTTCTCCGGATTTATCTTCATCATAAATAATTGATTTCGTGGAGCAGAATCTACACTTATTTCTCTTTTCGTATTATTAGTTAAATTATCGTCGTCATTTCCGTTGTTCATATTAATGATAATGTCACCTTTCATTGGATGTGGATATCAGTAAATTCACAATTCTTCGTTGTGATTTATTTTTTCATAATAAAAAGATGATACCCATATCTCTGTGCATCGAATTTTCCGACTTCTCGATATAAGCAGTGTTCAACTGATTATTTTTCATCCCTCAGAACTATACTGGCTGGTATTTATTCATTTTCTTTTTTAAACTGCGCGTATTTGAAAACAGTTGTCTTATGATCATTAAAGCATATTTAAATATGGATTTCTCCATAAATTTTAAAAACTTTTTCTGTTCGTTTAGCCGATAATATGGTGTTGTCAAATAAAAGCTTTTCCTGATTTTATGAGCATTTTGCTTCCGTGAATTTTTTAAATGATGGAAAAGAGCAACTCAAAACAAAACGAGATATGTGATAGCACTGCAAACGGAACTTTTGAAATCGATAACATTCTATATTATCTTCTGTCCCTTGTCCCTTTAACTAAAGGAATGGAATACAGCTCTTTTCTTTGAACAACAAATTGTAATGAATTTGTCGAGTATTCTACGATATTAACATTAAAATTATGATATCTGACTCCGTGGTTTTTACTCCAATTAGTGCCATTAAGTTAAGGTAGGATGTTGGCTTTTTAATAGTGGAGCAAGTTTTAATACCCAACTTTTACTTACTTCTGAATCTAATTGATTTGCAAATTACTTCGAAATGAAGGAACCGATATCATATAATGCTACTGCCTCTTTCTGAATTCAGGCACTTCAATCTTTTTACATGAAAGTAAGACTTTTTCACCTGTGGACTGATTTCTTTGCTTCAACTAAATTGATGGCATTTATCGAATTAATTTTTCCTTTATTTAGTCTAATGTATTATTGTACGCAATTCTTCTATTTAATGTGACATAGCGAGTATTGTGAGGATCTTTACAGTGAAAATATAAACGTTTCCTTATATTGCAATTGGTTGCCGTATGTTCGTATTGGAGACAGTTAGGCAAATATTATTTTCCTTTAATCGTTTCCATTCTTTGCTTAGAAGTAGGATAAGTTTTACATTCATTAGAGTTAAAGTATATAGCTAAAGTTGAGGTTTTTTCTTTAGCGTATCGTAAATTTGATTTCGATTTATTCTTAAAATTAGTTTAGTTCTTTCCCTATATTGAGAGATTGACTTCTTGTTACTTCTTCATTTCTTAGAACCAGCTTAACCAAAAATAGTCATATCTTCGTAACTGACTATAATTCTTCTTCTTCATTTTATTGATAAACGTTATCCAAAATCCAGGCCGACAGTTTATTTTCAATTATAATTTCGATGATGAACTGTTGTAGATTTTTGCTCATAGCTTCTAATGGTCGAAATATTTTTTCAACAATTTCGATTGTTATCTTCAATTCTCAATCATTTGTCTTTATGGGACGTAAATCGTTATAGAACCAATTTTTCGATGAAGACCTTCCTTATAACATTATCATTTTCTGGTGTTACATCGTAGTCCTTATGGCCAATAAGGCGCCTCCTTTAGAACATGCGGTTAGACAATTTGATTTTTGAATATCTGGAATACTTTGCAAGTGTATGCAGCAGTAAAACTACTCCAGAATCCTCTCCATAATTTTGCGTTACCGCTAAAATTCACTGTTGAGTGATATGCTATTTTGGACGACTTTTGTTGGCGAGTTAGTGTCACCATAGTTTAGGCGTTGGAATACTAACTCAGAGTCATTTTCAAACATAGTTAAAGTTGCAATAACTTCTTTTCCTTCATTTTTTAAATTTAAAATACTTTTCGTTGTGGACCATCCAAGCGTATCCAAGCTTTCCTTTTTTTGACGTGGCCGACCTTGTTGAATGTATTTAGCTGATTTGTATTGGCGGTTTCGTAAGTAACAATGTGTAGTTTAAGCGCATTATTTTTTCTTCGATAATTCTTTTGGCCTCGAATTATTAACCGGTTTCCTCCCCGATCAACATTTAATCCAACGGTGTTAGATCCATTACTCTAACTTCTTCGAGGTTCTAATTTTTTCTTTGCTGATTTTTATCATTATAGTGATAGATATACCACGTTTCACGGTATCATATTTCGTGGAATTTTTTACTTCGGAAGAACTTTGGTTTGGCACAGTCGCTCTTCTAAAAGTTTCTTTCTTGGATATCGTAGCGCCATTGTGAGTGATTTATCAATAATAGAGTCGATCACTTTGGGGATTTTTCTTAATCCGCTGATCCGGGAGGAATTCACTTGGATGTAAATGGTAGTAGTTTATTATAATATCGAGACAATTTTTATTGGCGAGTATAATGGGAAAAGAAGTTAGTCAAATATCGAAAAGACGGACATCAAGGGGCCTAATTCCCATGTTCCCAAAACAAAAATACACATTTTTCCTCTTCCATTCCAAACTATGCTAGAATGAGCTATCTCATCTTCCCTCCTAAAATGCGCTAACAAATTTGAAGAATTTATCCCTCTCGAAAGAACTGCACGGATGATGACTGAGTTTGAACAAATGAAACAAAATGAGTGGTAATGACGTGAACAAACACTCAAAAGTATAATTGAGTATTTGTTAATTGTTAATTTGGGATGGCATAAAGACAAATGAGCTAAATGAATGCGTATCACTTGCCGCATAATACAGCGAACACATAACTCTTGCAATTCTTGCATTAAGGATTGGGATTGACTTGTCAGAGAACAGTACTATCTACGTTGACATTTCATAATATGTAGCAAATCCAGAAAGCATGTCTTCTGGCTAAATTACAAGTCTGATAAAGTCTTGAACTTTGTTAAACTGAAGCTTAAAATATTGCCAGGGAATGCCGCGATCAGTAATCACGATACTAGCGTGATACAATGCAAATTGTATGGATGCCACGCCATCTTTTTCATTTTCCGCAACTTAATAATCATTTCGAAATCATCAAATGTGGTATGGCCACGATGCATCATGTGTTCAATTAAATTATAAAAACTTCTTTAAAATGGAATCAGCGGCGGATAATAAGAGAATCTTATTAGAAACATAGGGAAGAATTTTCTGAAGGTTTATATTGCATGATAAGAAAATGAAGGACAAGTATTAAGAATTTCATTTATTCCTTCCAATTATTCAAGCAGCTATTTTCTTTTGAGAGATCCATGCTTCATATTATTTCATCTCTATTTTACAAAATGAAATCATTTTTTGAAAAATTCAGACGGTGTATTACAAAGTGCTGTTAGAAGACTGGAAAGCAAATCTTTCTTCCCAAACACGAAATAAGCGGAAGACAAACACAATAGACTGACAAACAATTTGCGTTGATATTTTCCTCCTATAAATAAGAAATTTCTCTGGATTAGCACTTCTTAACGTCATCGAGCTTTTTGTGTTTATATCTGAGAGAGATTGCCACTAGAATTTGCGCTGTAGTTAAAATATCAGTATCATCGAACAAATTTGATGCAATCCAAATTTGTAGCTTTTATTGTGGAGCGCTGGAATTGATGCAAACATAAAAAGAATATGGCGCAAAGTTAAAAAAACATTGAAAATTTCAGGGGCAATAACCTTCATAAAAATGATTAAGGTGTGATATATTTTTGATCAGTAAGAAGTTTAGCCAAACTCTTTACGGTGCTTACTAGGTTTGCGAAGAGGCGAAAATCGTAATAAAAAAATGCAAGAAACCTGACAACAAAAAACTTAATATGCAAATCGTCCTTGGCAATGTGATTTAGTGCGAAACCAATGAAATAAGCAATAAACAGCAGTCTGCTGATTTCTATGCATTTGCATATGAACTATTTTGGAATGTGACTTATTGAGAGAAGAAATTTGCACTAAAAAATACAAGCAGTTGTTACTAAGAATGGAAAAATAACAAGAAAGCATGCGGCACTTAAAACCTAAAAATAATTGCCCAAATAATAGAAATTAAAATCTGTGAAACAATGGCTTACCGAAAAGAGAATTATTAAAAGTCACGAGTTCAAATCATTATTGAATTCCTTTTCTGGCAATATATATGTTATATCGTCCCATGGATGTCGATACAGTCCTTGCTTGAGCCTTCTTTGATCTAAGTAATGTCCTAAACAAACTGATTTATACATCTGAGTTCATAACTTATCACTGCTCACTAAGAAGTAAAACTTAGCAAATGGATGGAAGGCTGCTTGATATCCGGATTTGTTAACGTTCTATCCACAATAATACCAAAAAATAAAAATATTCTACATTTAACACATAAAAAAGACTCAAACATTCTTATGGGAGAAAACACACCAATAAATCCAATACTTCGTCCCAGAACAAAAAGCCCATTTATAGTCCCGATTTCGATGATTTGCTGCGCTTCTTCTGGGGTAAACATCCCGGAACAGCGAAGTATGTCCACGAAAATGACAGCGATTGCTCCATCGACGTTCAATATTAAATTTGCTTTCTAGAAACATCAAAAATTAAGATTATTAATTTTCGACGAATAGAATAATATTTCAAATATACCTTCGATGTAGTGATCTTCTCAACTTTCAACGCGTACTCTAGTAACGGAGTTCCTTGTTTGAATTTTTCTCGATCCAGAACAAAATTTTTCAACACATCAACACGTTTATCTGGATTATTGATCTGAAAATTTACATATAGCATGATATATGAATTGCAATACCATTCTTGATCGGCTACTACATTTACACTTAGATTAAGAAAAAACTAACCGATTTGACACGATGGCCAATTCCCATGATATGTTCACCAGCAAGACGTTGTTTATTGACAAATTGCATGGGACTCAATCCCTTATCAAATGCCTCACTGAATTGCCGCGCTGCACCATCTAGCGCACCCCCAAATCGATCACCCTATTGTAACTTCTATTAACAGTCTGCTTTTGCACTTCATTTAATTTAAATATGCTATATTTCAACAAATGCAAATTAATTCAATTAATAAATTGTAATATATTAAATATAACTCATCGATAGCTTAACACTTCTGCGCTTTAGATGAATTTATATTTTCACAACCAAAAGAAAATCAAAGATGAAATCAAAATTCCCATTGAAAAGAGGTGGACGCTCACATTTTCAATTGAAATTGCAGTGAATTTAACTTAATACAATAAAAAAACTTACAATTGTTAATAACCCAGAAACCAAAGATGACACCAAATCTTTCCCTGCTCGAGCACACACAATCGTGTTGTGAGCACCGCTTACAGCAGGTCCATGGTCTGCAGTTATCATCAAACACATCTCAATAAATTTATTTGCGTAATCTGGCAGTCGTTTCTGCAAGAATCTTGATATCAAGCACATAACGTTCTGTGAAGCATTGCGAAAGAAATACCTCGCAAACGTAAATGATAATCTAATGTTCTCTGAATTGAAATGAAGCACATGTCGCATTTTTCTAAATAATTTTCAGAGCTGACGATAAAGAAAAACATACCTGAAACCAAAGTAAACTAAGCACACCTCCAATGCCAATATCTTGTTCAAGCACACGTGATATTGGCACACCTGCGTAAAGCAGCTCATCGCCTCGTTCGTCACATATCGACGTTATAAATGACGTTGATTTCCGTATTAAACCTAACTCCTGTAAAGTATCTTCCATAATAAATATTGCATAGAAGCACTGATAAAATAAAAACCAGCAATTAAGCTTACTCTTGCCCAAGTGTAATCCATAGGTACAGTAGGAGGTGACGGTTCTTCTCTCAGTACAATTACTTCTTTTTGCAAAAGTTCTTGGTAAATCTGAAACACGAAAGAGCTGATATCAAAAAAAGAAAGTTAAAAGAAAACTACTTAGTTGAGATTGAGCACAGGTGATAGTTAAATTCACCGATTACTAACCTTGGCAATTTCGTCACCCAAATCGTTAAAGGAATGTGGCACGTGAGCCCCAGCTTCTTTTAATGCCAAATTTTTAGCATTAGCAGTTTCAGTTTTTGCGTTAGCAGATGCACCTGCGTGACCAAATTGGATCTGAACATGTACAAAAACGGCTGGCTGAACATCGCAAAAGCATGGTGGATAAAAATATGAAGCGAGTAAAAAATAACGGACTTTAACTAATAAAAACAGCAAAACCTTAAATGTAACCGCCAATTGAATGTTTTTTTTTTGGGATTACAAGGAGCTAAACGAATGTCGGACAGCGCGTCAATTTTTAATTTCATCTGAGAGATGTTATAAATTTTAGTGTACTGATATTTCTAACTCATTCAAACGCATTGAATGAATTATTTCATTTATTCAAGCAACCTCAAATGTGATGGAATCTGCACAAGTTCCAATGCACCAAGCGATTAGAGGTTTCGTAAAGCGTTTTTCCTTCAGCGCCTTAACAACTTTGTATTCTTCGTCACCACCTAGTTCACCAAGCATAACCATCATTTTTACTCTTCAACAAAAGATCAATAATATTTTTAGGAATTCAACAGAAGAATTCTACTATTTCCATCAGTTCCTACCACTTAATGTACATTCATTAATAACCTGTCATCCATTTCATATCGAAGAAGGTGGTCAACAAACGTGCTTCCTGGGTATCTGTCACCTCCAATAGCAATTCCTTCATAAACTCCATCGGCATTTTGAGAAATGATGTTGTTGAGTTCATTCGACATTCCTCCGGAACGTGAAACGTACGCAACACTATAAACATAATTTTTCAATTGGTGAATTTCTTAATATAAATAAATCTTTAAAAAATTAACAAATTACCTCCCTGGCCTATACAATTTTAGCGACAGTATATTGTCCATCATGCCACCAGTGTTACCAATTTTAAAACAACCAGGTTTAATGCCACCCACTGTGGCCGGCCCAATCAATGTAATGGCTTTCTCATTTGCCAACTGAAATGCAGGATAAATTAAAATCCTCTTGTCTTTTGGTATTACCAAACTTCAAAAAATATTAAATGAAACTCTGCCGATTACCTTAATCAACTGCCGAGTTTGATTTTCGGGCATGCCTTCAGCAATTATTGCAATAACACGAATTTGTGGGAAGTCCAAAGCTTCTCGAACTGTTGAATAGCAAGATCGCAAAGAAGCAAAAGTTATAAATACAGAAACATCATAATGCTTAATGAAAGCGTCCTTCATTGATTTGTATACTGGCATCAGAATTTCCTGCAAAATAGACATAACTATTTAGCCTAAACAGCTTAATGGAAAAATTGTCATACAATGATGATCAGAAATCGTATCAACGTATTTTAACTGTAAGGAGCAATATAAATGGAAAAGTGAAACTTGAACTTACTTTTTGGCCAAAATAGTATTTCTGTTTATGGTCACTTGTAAAAGGATATGTTGACGCAACCACAGAGGGCTGTGAACGACCACAAACGAAATCGAAATCAAGCATACTCTAAAATGCAACGGAGAATTTTGCATAAATTTTTAACAAAAAGACCAAAATTTTCAAGTGTAATTAACATATCTACCTGTATAGCCTTTGTTTGCTGTCCCCATACAATGGCTTTTGTATCACTCTCAAATAAACTGCTTTCCAGTCTAACTCCGTTATCGCTGGTTTTCATCGGTTCATCTCCATCTGCTGCCAGTTTCATAGTCTTCCTTACCGGTGATGCTAAGGAAGATTTTGACTCAGTAGTTCCCATAGTCTAAAAGATTATTTCAATATTAAATATAAAGATCATATTTGGACATTAAGAATAAAGATTGGTGGTATACTAACATCTACAAATATCTTCATTATTTATCCATACTTACATCTTTTTTTGATGGAAAAGGAAATTGACCAGTAGCTCGTAGAGCTAACGGGCTATCTGAAGCATGACGCAATCCCAGTGCTGTTGCTACGATACTCGTCATGTGGGTTTCTGGTCCATACACATGAATTGATAAGTTCAGACGAGAACCTTTAAAATTAATAGGCGATTTTTTGCAAGGTTTAAAATCATTTGATTAAAAAAAAGAATGAAATTCAGAGATGAAACTATGTATGGCAAGAAAGATGATAGAACAAACCAGTTTCTTTCATTTTCCTTAATCCTTCCTGATAATTTGGTCCTCCTCTTCGTACGTATATAGTGACCTTATGCTCATGTAGACGTTTCGCATATTCCTCAAGAGCTCTTATAATTCCCTGCAATGAATTAATTTGAGTAACATTATTACCGTTCATACAACAAAAAAGAGATTCATAAATTTACCTTAAATGTATTCGCAACATTGGTGAAATTTGCAATTGAGCCACCAATAATTAGAATTTTGCCTTTCGGATGTGGTGCGCCTTCCGTAAGCACACTGAGTATTGTCTTTGCATATTCATAAGTCATTATTTCAGATGGATCACCAGAATATTCACCATAATTTGCCAACTCAGACATTCCTCCCAGATCGCAAATTGTATCACTGAAAGAATTAATCGACGGTAACAGTAAGTCAAAGATCATCTAAAATCATGATGAAATCTAAAATCTTGATACATACGTGTAAACAACAGAAGCACCGCCACCAGCTACCATAGTCCAGATGCGACCTCGGCGATTTAAAATAGTTAATTTCAATGAAGCGCCAGTTCTTGAATCGAGATCAGCAACATATTTCTCCTGCAAAGAAAATAATAAAAATGGCTAAGTAACAATAATAATAATTGCAACTGTATTTTTTAAATCTGAACTCTCTCTCTCTCTCTTATTGAAATTTAAGACCCACAATAGCATCTTTTAACTGGGTTTAACTTACCGTAACTTACAGTTATACATAACCATTACTAATGAAAAGATCTGCGAAGAAGACAGCGAAACAGAAAGGAATATTGCTTTAAATTCATTTTTGATAATTATTCGTCTGTCAACTTCGAAGATTTTTTTGCAGTAAGATGAAGATGAGAACCTCTGCCATTTTATCTCTTCCAAAAGGAGCAGGAAAATCAACTGGCTCTCCGTTTCTGGTTTTCCAATTCTCCGAACAAATAAACAGCGCTGTTTCATCAAGTTTTGCAGCAAGATCAAGTATGTAAATTTTGTTATTGACCAGAACTATAACATAAATCAATTAATAACAAAATTCAAAATGATAAGGAGTCTCTACAGAATCTTCCGTCTCCTTCCTAGAAACAAAAAACTCTACTACTAAAGTGCAATCATTGGGAAACCAAAAAAAGTGTTGATAGTAAAAATTTCACTGTAGGAATCCTTACCAAATGGATTTATTTCTAAATAGGTGAAGTAGTTATCTCTATATACATGGTAGAGAGCTTTTACAAAGGTTTTCAGAAGCCTGAAAATATAATATGATTAAATAGCTGGCTATGTCAAAAAGAATTTAAATACAAAAATTATTCGAATCTTATAAATTTATGCGTTTAAGTTAACAAATCATTTGTAATGATCGCTGGATCTCATCAATGGTTGAAAAAATTAAGCATCAACAACCGTTAAGTGATTAACATGCAGTAATCAAAATAAAGGTGGTCAGGGATAATGTAGAGCAAGGAAACAGTTTTCCTAAAAGATGGATTTAGGGACACATTCCCATATGACCTGGAAATAAAAACAATACTGTATTGGTATCTAGAGCCTAAATAACGAATCGTTTTAAAATAGTTGCCTTTCTTGAAAACTGTCTTTTTGAAAAAAATTTAAATTAAAAGCAAGGCGGAATGAAAAATTCAAAATTATGTACGACATACGATAATTTCTGGCTTTCAACTGGGCCGATCACTGACTCAACATCATCATCAGAGATAAAATTGTTCTGTCTGTCGATATCCACTGGGATATACAATTTACGAGCCTTAAATAAATTTCTTGACATTTAACAACTGATCACTTTAGTGAGTTGCTGAAATTCAAACCTTGGCATCAATGTCTCCAACATCGACTCCACCATGCTCATAAAAGAGAATGACGTCATCTTCACGTCTGCTAAATATAGCAATATACATTTCATCGGTATCTGAATGGTTGCAGAACGGCTCAACAATGAAATTACGCAAACTTCCAATTGTTTCGCCAATCTGAAACATATATATCATGTGAGTACTGCGCGTGATTTGTAGAATCATATGGAAGAGGATGAATTTGGGGAAAAAAGTCTAAAAATCAACCTGTATGCTTTTATCTTTCACTTCGTTGAACCAATCACGGAGAACAGACAAATTCCCGCATTTCACCAAACCCAGTTTACCTCGACGCTTGATCAACTGATCTGGCTTAATTACGGCTTTCTGCAATTCAAAGTAACATTTGGAAGTTAATCTTTTATTAAGCAACTCATTCATGTCCCTTCTTCAAGTATGTATTGAAGTGTTAGCTTTGATTTAGCAAGTTCAATTATATGGCTGTTACGCAACAGGTGAAATCAGCCAATGACAAAACAAGAAACACCTCCTTAAGTGATATTTGGAGAGCAGTTAAGCAAATAAAAATTATTACACCTGCTTCGATTTGATAACGAACTAATAAGGAAATTTGAAAATACCACAGATCCTTAGAAAGATAGCATATTTCTCAACTGAATTATTTTCATCTCTTAAGTTCGAATGCATAAAAGTAAAATACAAAGTATCAAGTTTTTTGAATAATCCTTCATTAATGAACTGCAGCAGTGCCCAGTTCGTATTCTCGGAAAATTCCAATACTCCTCTATTTCACACATTTCTCTCCAGTAAAGGAGGATAAACAAATTCATATCGAATATTGAGAAGCGGAAAGGATGATGAGAGCATTGTTTTTAGAAATTTTGCAGTTTTAAATTTAGCAAACACCTTATCATGAGTAAGCCACTCAATTTCGTCCGTCACAACATCGAATGAGTCACTTGAAGTAAGTCTCAACGCCTGTGGCTTCTCGATAAACTCCAGTTCCTTCAAATGTCTATATAGCAATTCCTTGCCCGTATATTCACTAACTGCTTTTGCTGACATATTTCTTTTTTAAAACTGCAACCAGGAAAATGGCCTGAAATTAATAGTTTGCTCTATAAAATCATTACTTAAGATGGGAAAAAAAGACGAAACACGCTACGAATTCGTACTGAGCTAGTGAAATGTTATAAAGCAATATCATGCACTGTTGTCTTAGATGATTAAAATCTTTTTAGAGTGGATGAAAGAAATGCATCTCTTGCATAATTATTATATCCTTAAAGATAGTACACTAAGACTTATACCAAACAACTCTGAGATTTATACTAAACATTTTAGCAACCTTTCTAAAAGAAATTCGATAAGGAACGATTTGAAATGAGAGATTTCATTTTTTGTGGCAATATATAATGCAACAATTTGATTTTTTTTCGTTTCCATATATGGTACCAAGCAGAGAATTAAGAGGATAGTAGAATGAGAACTGTGGAAATCAATTATTACGATATATCAATAGACATTTCTTTTACTCTGATAATCATCTGACATGTCCTTTTCCCGTACATTGAACACTGATATTTGGCAAAAAATACAAGTGCGGAAAACTCGAAAAAATAATAAAACTTCCAGGAGAATAAAGAGAGAATTTTTGTGGTATAATTAGAGATTTATTTTAAGAGCTTGAAGAGCAAGAAAAAAAGGAAATCCCATTCCTAAGATAAACTGCACCAACAATACAAATATCGACTGCACACTAAATGTCAAGCAACTAATACAAGCGACCGCTTACAACAAATGCTACGCGACAGCTTGCAACAAAATATCCTTAAGCCACTTGATCCCATTATACAACGGTTGGGGCTCAATGTGTCATATATTGTTCCTTAATTTACATTAAGTAAAATAGCCAAATGCCTGAAATCTTTCCCACTTGCTGATAGCTTCTCGATTAAAAATGTCATCAATATTAGTGCTAATATCAGAAAGCAATGTTTTGACATGAAGATGAAAGAATGAATCAGTGGTCACTGGGGTCAGCTATATCGGACGAAAAGACGCTTCACTTAATGGATAAGTCTTATTGAAAATGAATGAAGCGATGAATGGGATTTGAGTACGTGACCTGAATTAAGGCTTAATGATATTTAAGATTTGCATATAGAATTCCCGTATGAAAAAGAGTTGGCAATAATAATTGAAATGGGAAGAAGGAAAAGAAATAAATGGAGATAATAAATTAATAGTGATAAGAAAAAATGATAATAAAAGCAAAAATAAGAGTAAGGCTAAAGAATTAAAATTTGCGATAATCCAAAGAAAAATGCGAAAAATCCAATTCATTCATCTTTGTTTAAAATTATTTTAAACAAACTTTTTCATCGATATATTTTTAAATGTTTGCTAATTACATTTACAATATTTCTTGCAAGTATGATTCATATGATTATGCCATTAGCGCTACATTCAATAGTTGGCAAATTAGTCTTAAATAAAATGTTTCAATACTTTTTATACAAGTATCTCTTCCAGTCAACTTACAATTATTCGTTCAATATTACTTAATTATTCATTTGTTAATAGGAAAGGGAGGAAGAGGATGAAGTGGATGAAGAAAAGGGGGAACCTGATTGAATGCAAACAAGAGCAGACACAGATACCCAGATAGGTAAGTTTCTGTCCGTCATCATATTGCAAAACGATATGAAAGTGCAGCGGGTGGCGAAAGGGTTTTTAGAGAACACCTGTAAGTTAATAACTATAGTTAATAAGTTATTAACTTTTACTTTCACGCTAATATAATGAATCATAATACAATTTATCCTCCCTATTCATCATTGATCTTTGCTTCCTATTAGCTAATATGTACAACTTTCTTTTTTCTCTCTTATCATTCCTTATCATCCAATATTGCCACAATCTTAAATTGTCATCATCTTTTTTTTTGTATCTTTTTAAGTTTAAAATGAAGGAATCTAAGTACAAACGAATGTTGTACTTATGCCCAAACCTGTTTTTACCTTTATGAAATGTTTTCAACTAAATAAAAACAAATTCCATTCGATTCGATTCAATTAAATAAATACTCCTATCTTTTCAAATTTGTTATGATACTATATCACTAATTTGAATTGAAATTGATTAGCAATTCAGATTGTTTGTAGTAATCGATTTAGCTAATGAGGGATGATTCATATTTCCGGTTCACAATTGTCTATGTCGAGAGGGTAATAGCGCATTTTGACAATCCCGGGCGTTATTTATTGCTTCTTCCTTTATACATTTTATGCTTATCACATTTCTCAGGTATGATTATTCAGAATGATCTTTCCAATTTTATCACTTACTTTATACATTCATTTATTTATTCATCAAATGATCATGATTATGTAAACAATCTTAATCATATTGAATATATGTATCTGAATCTTGTCGAAACTGGTTACAAAGAATGAATTAATTTTTTATAGCTCTGTTATTGAAAGGAAGAAGTTTTTCGTGTATTTTTATCGAAGCACAGTATCGTTAGTGAATTGAGGAATATTAGTGAGGGAAGTGAACATTTCAAGTGGAGCGGTGTTTGATGAATAAATTTTAAAGCTGTAATCCGCTTTTCAGCCGATTACTACCATCTCTCTCTTTCTCTTTCTTTCTTCTTTCTCTCTCTCTCTCTATTTATCAATTACTTTTTCAGTAACCAACATTTCCTATCGCTGAAGCGAGAATACTGCATGAAAATTGTTGCTATATTTACATAGCATAATCAACAATGCTTCTTCATTTTTGGGAATATCAATATCCGAGTATTGATGCTTCAAATTTCCATTTTATATCGATTTTAATTTTTTCTATCTGTAATTTACGTTTGAGTAATTAACATGCCGCATATTATCTTGCGTGTATCATCATCGGTAGTACGCAATACATTGAGTGGTTGATGTTGTGCAAATGATTCATTGTATAGCTTATATTGTTCGAGCTTATGTTGACAGTTAAACTTTGGCATAGCTTCTATAATAGTAGGAATATTTTAATGAGATGGCTGATATTAGGGAAAACGAAAGATTGGTGATATATGATATATGGGTAACTTTGCTGGGCTTTTTTTGAGCCAATTCCATTATTTTCATCAATTTCGATTCAAGAATTTGTCATATCAGTGATAATAAAAATATGAAAATTCCAATCTTTTCAACAAAACAGATCTATTAAATGATTTAGCCAATCGTGAAATTTTTATTTCTATTAATTTAATATCCTTTATTGATTCTGTTTTGTATATTTAGGTTAGTGAAGCGTTAATTCCTTTCATTAAATTGTACCATTTTAAGCTCCCTCTCTCTCTCTCCCTCTCTCTTTCCCTACCTAAAAAATATAGATATCAATTGAAAATCGTAGAAATGGTGAGGAGAGAAATTTGCACTAAGAAAAACTTTGCATCAATGTGATCCTCTAAATTGATATTTCATAGCTTTTATGGACATTAGGAAGAGGAAGAGAAGAAAGGATGAATTCAAGAAACATTTCATCTTTTTTCTTTTGTTTTTCAATTTAACTTTGTACAGCTAATTGCAAAATGATTAATTTGCAAGCATCTTGCAAAACTAGCAACAATTTATCTTTCATTTGTGTTTCTTTAATTTCTGTCATTGTGCGATAAGAAATTATTTCATTGCATATTGCAAGCACTCAGATCAATTATCTTTGTTTTCAATTTGTTGAAAAATTTTTCCTCACTTTACTTTTCATTCTTTGACTACTATAAAAATAGTCATTGAAATTTCAACAATCAGAGTATTGTATCGATATTGAGGGAAGAAGTAAGAGCAGATTGAAACTGATTCTCTTCTCTCTCTCTCTCTCTCTCTCTCTTTCTCTCTGTCTCTTTTTCTTCCTCTTTTTGAATTAATGAAATTTGTTTCTATACAAGTCTCCTAACCATCGAGCGATAATTCAATTGAAATTTCATTTTCTATTAAATGTTCTTCAATCCACAACATATATATATTATATATGTGTGTATGTGTGTGTATAGTTTAATCCCCGAAATTGTTTCATCTTATTTCACAAATTGATGATAACTATTCGTTTGTTAAATATTTACATTATTAGTTAGCTATCTCCAATGAAGTTCTCATTGGGGCTTAGTTGATTTTTAATATTTGTTTTAAACTTCTTTTAAACTTCCGTAAACTTTTGCTAAAATAGAAAAAAGAACTTTATCACTATGATACTTTGATCAATGATTATTTGTTATATAATAGCAATGATGATTCGGAAAAATTAATCCTTAATTTCTTTAATATAAGTAGAAATTTTCAAAACATGATGTAACGTAAGATAAATACGAGAGAGAGAGAAAAAGAGAGAGAGAGCGAAGCATATGCCATTTCTCATAATCCCGCATGTAAGATTATTATTGGTCGTGTTCTGCGATACTGTACAGAAAGACCTGTTGAATGTAATATTGATATCTTATCGATAGTGCTATCACTTATTGGTTTCTTTTTTCCAGTTTATATGATAAGAATAGGGATCAATAGGATTTCGGAACTTTAATATATTCTGGAAATCAATTATTCAATTAAGTTTTAAGAGCTTTCAGCTTAGCATTTATTTCTTTGCTCTCATTATTTATTTATCTTTTTTTTCTCAATTTTCTGAAGTTGAAAATGGATGGGAGCAATTAATAAAAATGAAAATTCAGAATTAGATTCTTTGCTTCATTTTTTTCAATGAGTTTCATTGTTTTATCTTTGTGATAAACAGTTAGATGTCATTATTTTGACAGCACATTTTTCATTACAACTTCTCGTTGAATTTCTCTGTAATATATTAAAGCTTTTAATGATAAACAATGTACTTCCTCGTAGCAGTGAAATTTGAACTATAAACTTGAATTTATTTCTTAAATCATTAAATTATGATTAGCATAATCAAAACAGATGACAAATTATACGGCTAGAGTTGATCCCAATAGAATATAGCATTATGCAAAGAAACCTCTGTAGATCGCATTGCTATTTGAGGAACGTAAAATGAAAAGTTATTGTTGGGAAAGTTACTATACGTCAAATTTTATCAGGATACATTAGCTAAAGAACCAGACATAGCTAGCGTAAATTATGCAATGATGCAAATATAAACTAAATAAATTATCCATCGACTTGAAATGTGACATATGGTTTATTTTAAGCTGCGATATGGCGAGGAAATGATCAAATTTTTGGGATCTGCTGCATACACCTTTGATTGTTTCATTCAATTTCATTTTACTTTCACTTCTTTTGTCTTACAATTTTTTTCTCTTTTTTTATAAATGCTTTAATTATAAAAGTTTGCAGGAAAAAAATGATGATATATATGATATTGATAATGTTAAATTAAGACAGATGACCTGCAAATGGTAGAGCCAATATAATTAATGAATGTTTAAATAACAAGAATAAACATTCTTTTCAATTCATCATTATTAATCGAAATGATTTCAATCCATTCTTCTCATTCTTCCTTTAATATTTCATACAGTTTCCATGACTGTTAAATGAATATCTTAAATTTATCTTTTTTGTTTTTAAACTTTTTGAGCGACAATTGTTATTGATGGCGAAGTATTTCAAGTAAGTATTTCATTCCAGTTTATTAATAAACAAGTTTTCAAATATATATGTTTGAAAACTAATGAGCTGTATATGTAAGAAATTATCATCATTCTCTTCTCTTTGCGGTACTTTTAGTTCAATAAATAAATATGCTCACTGTTGACAATTGACATACGAATTATCGGCGGCGATTTAAGCATTGCTCATGATATTCCATTGCTTCTTTGTTGATTCTCATATTATATCACTACTGTTTCTGGTCATTAATATTTTTGTTATGTTAGTTAATGATAGCAATTAATTTAAAATTAAACAAAGGAGAGTGAAAAAATTGCAAGTGATTTCTTTTGAATTATAATCATTTGATACGATAGTGCGCTATTGACATTAATGATAATTTTTCTTTTGTTTATCATATTTGAAATAACTAACAGAGCAATAATTTATCACTTATCTATTCAAAATATTCCATTAATATTAACTGATAATAAAGGGTACAGTGTACATTTTATTGTTATCAGTGAAATTTCTTTCCACTCTTCTATTTAACAACAATTTCAAATTAAATAATTTTTTCTTTTTTTTTGAGTATTTGATATTTTTCGATATTTTTGAAATATATTTTTATGTCTTTATTTAGCTTTGAAAATTTTCAATGAATGCAAAAAATATTGATGACAGTCGGATTTTGACTGGTTTCATGCAATGTGTACTTTTCCTTTATTTCTATAATATTCCAATTTATTATTTTTCATTCATTTTGTTGAAATGTGCAGTAATGATATTTGTACTATTACTGGAGTAATCTGATAATTTGAATGCCTATAGGCCAAACTAGGCTTTCATTTCGTAGTACTCTTTTGTTCATTTTGGAATCATTTAATTTTCAAAACTTAATTATTATTATTTCCTCCAAAAATCTGGTCACTTTTTTATTAGAAGTGTAAAATTGAACTAATGAAAGTATGATTTCATAAAAATTTGAAATCAATGAATGTTATGCATAGAGTTTACTAGAATAGAATGGAAAATAGAACTGAGGTATGAGACATTTGATAATCTAACTAATCAAGCCTTTTTAAATTATTTTTTTATGCGATTTATCTCATAGTAATGTAGAAGTTTTTGTAATAGTGATAAATAATCTAAACAACTGATAATTATAAGTTCCAAAGAAATTAAATCAAACATACTTAATGAGCAAAATTTTTTAGCTTTTATTTACTTTCTTCTCACTCAGGTGAAATATCATTTAAATTTCTCATCATTTACTTTTCATTTTAATCAAATGTAAATTAATATTTTCTCAGTTTAGGCTGCCATAAATTTTTATCCATTTTAGCTTCAACTTTTTAGGAATTACTGCCATAAATGAAAATAGTCATAAAAACACCTTTTGGCATTTAATAATTTTTTTAAATTTGTTTTTATTTTATTATTAGATTATTCTAAACATTTAAACATTTTTCGGACCAGGCCTCTTTCCAGCCTTTTTTTTACTAGCCTTCTCTTCTTTTATATTCATTGCATTCAGCTACTCCTAATTGGGAAGTATTATTTTTTGGGAATGATTAGCTTAATTATATTCAAATTTTGCTTCCGTACAATTCAATCATTTTGGTTTTTACTTTTCTGTTAAATAGCTGTTGGATAGTTGTCGTAGTTATATTCAAATAGCTGTTGGATAGTTTGTCGTAGTTATACTTTTTTGCATACAATTTAGTCTATCCTTCATTTTGGTGTTTACTTTTCTCCCTCAATCGTCAGACCGAGAGAAAGAGTATACAGTAATTTTATTATCTTTCAAATTCGTTGAGAATGCTGGCAGTAATATTTAGGTTTTTATTTAATGGTGTATGTATGCATGATTTACCACTTTAGCCACCTAATGAATTAAATATTAGCAATTAATGAAATGTAAATAATGAGAGGAGAAATGAAGAAATGAAATCGAAATATTTCGCTTATACAAAATGGATTAAATTAAAAAAAAATTAATTCCGATTATATTTGCTTCTATATTTCCTACATTGTTTACATTTTTATTATATTTGCATATCATAAATCACATTCCACAATCATTCCATAAACAATAAATACATTTTTAAAATATGTATTACAGTCATATATTGTCGTTGCTTATATTACTGTAATCATTTTGATTGTGTGAAAATAACAAAACATTATTTGTATTTATCGTGTTATCAATCTCTTCATGTAGAAGATGTTATCAAATATAAATTTCATTTTTTAATTAATTTTAAATTAATAAAAAGATAGAAGAAAAGTTTCTTATTTATTTAACCTTTTTTTTTTTATTCTAACTGCCTAAATGAATTAATTAAAATTAAGAAGAGGAAAAGGCTGGTAATATATTTTAAATTGCTTATACGTTTAATTAAATTTAAAGCACACATCAAAATAATTTTCAAATTGATAGAAGAAATAATTTGATTTTTAAATTCTTTTTTTTTTCTTCAAAGAAAATTTATTTTATAAAAGAAGAAATCATTTCATTTCATTACATCATTTGATTTTGATGAGTGCTATAAAGAAGTTAAGAAATTTTTTACTTGAATGAACTGAAATTGTAATAGTTGGATTGATACAATGCTTTATTGATTGATTTGTTGGATGTTGAAGTTCCATTTAATTGATCATTTATTAATTTCATGATTCCTTTCAAGGATTACGCATAGATAACGTTTGTAGAAAATTTTTCCAAAATAAATGTTGCATTGATGCTAATATTTCAGGGAAATAAAAAACTAATTAGCGGAAATGTTGAGCTAATTGGTTATAAGGTAACTTTATTCTGTTTATATCGTTTATCGCCATGTGGTTATGCCGCGGATACGATCGGAATATTTATTTATAATTCTCACTGTTTTCTATATTGGTACCCTTCTTCGATTTTTATTTTATCCACTTGATTCATCGGTTTGTTTCTAATTTTGTTTTTCAAATTTTATTAATGAAAATTTGATTTTCAAAATTTCTTTATCAATTTTAATTCTATCACAAAATTACGGATATACGTATAACGAATCTGTTTCATGAAGATACATATTTCGAATGTTTTCAGTCATCACATCCGAATTTACACCAATTCAAATACAAAGTAAAACAATTAGAAAAACTTTTACAAGAGGATAAAAATGAAATTGCATTGCTTCAGTAAGTTTTTTCCGTAATCTCTTTTCTTTTTAAGAAATGCAAGAATAAATATAAGTTATAATTTAGAAACATTAAAATATCGTCATTCATGTAAATATTTTACTAACAAATTACAAATATTTCTGTTATATATTTCAGGCGGATATTGTGAAAATTTTACCGCATTTACGAATCATAATAAATTTGAAAACTAAAACTTTGAGATCATTGATATCTTTTAACTATATGTATTTTGTGCTGTAATAATGATTAATTGATAATAAAAGAAAGAAAAAAGAATTTTGTTTAGGAAGAAACTTAATGAGATTGAAAAGCGAAAGAATGCTAGCATGACAGAATCAATGAAGCCTTATCATAAATCTTTGTCACATAAGTTTAAGCCATCTCTTGGTCGATTATCAGGCAACGGATGGCCTTATCAAATTCCTATTCTGGTATTCGTATGCAATCGTCCAAAAGCAATTGACAATCATCTTAAAAAACTACTCAGGTAAATAATTATTCACTTTTTGCAAAGGTTATGCAGATCAAAAAAAGAATGTGTAGATTTAATTAATTAAATTAATAAACATGACTTTTGTGGGAAGGAAATATTGCATTTTTTCTCACCTTTATTTTAGTCTGAACTTTATGCCTACTTGATCTCAGTTCTCAGATTGCTAAAATCATACTCGGGAAATACTGATTCCAATTTCAAATACGATGAAAAATACTAACATAGTTTTATCGGTAATTTTAAAATCATTCAGATCAATATTTTAGACGATACATATCGTTAGTGTTATAAAAAATGTATATATTTAGGTATCGACCATCGATTGAAAAATTTCCAATAATAGTAAGTCAGGATTGTGATGATTCTCGTGTCAAGAAGGTCATCGAGAAATTTGGTACCGAGGTGATTTACATTAAGGTGACTTTTTTCATTTGTTATTATGATAGTGAGCAATATTGAATTTTTTTATAAGTATATAAGTAGGTAGAAATCATTGATGAGTAAAGATGGAAATAAAAATTTTCTAAATCAAATGAAGAATGAAATTTTATTGAATTGAACTATCAATCGAACTGATTTTTGCCCTTGTGGAAAGTAAACATTTTTCTATTTGTCGATATTCTTATAATTCTCTTCCAATAATTTTAACTTATCTATTATCAAGCAATAAATGAAAGGATTACAATTTTTTGTACATTCTTGTCGGATAGCACTACTGGTCTATCAGACCTTAATGGTTTCAAATTTATAAAGTAAAAAAGAAATGTTAAAACTATTAGTAGACAAATAAAAAAGTGTTAGTTATTCAGTTTCATTAAGAGTTTATTTTTCATTTATTCATTGGGGTGTAAATATAACTTGTGATAAAATTGGACTGATGCTTGGATTCCGGAAATTTATAATGAAAACAAGTTTATTTATCTGTTATAAAAATTGCTTGAAATGTCACCTGTTAAATTAATTAAGAATAAAAAAATTTTAATTGGCATTATTTTGAAAGAAGTATCAATTATAGCATTTGAGCAGTCAGAATGCTCATGTTACAACAAGTCCGGAACATAAACGTTACATTATTTATTATCGGATAGCACGACATTATAAACTTGGTCTATCATATATATTCGATAAGCTTAATTATTCTAGTGTTATCATCACTGAAGGTTGTCTTGTTTGATTAATGAACTTACCTTCCAAAGTATTAATTATATTTGTTTTTTAAATGTAATTGTGTTGAAATTTTTACATTTGAATTAAAAATTGAAACAAAAATTGTTATCATCATGTGCATTGCAGATGATTTGGATATAGCACCGGATTTTTTCGAATACTTTAGCGCTACACGTCCGCTTCTGGATGCGGACGAGACGTTATATTGTGTATCAGCGTGGAATGATAACGGTAAAACTTACCTAATTGATAAGAAACGACCGGAGTTGTTATATCGTAGCGATTTTTTTCCGGGACTTGGATGGATGATGACCAAGTAAGTGTGGGATTTTTTTCCACATTTCTCAAAAAGTCATTTAAATTATATTGTAAGCATCAAACACTTAAATGTAGATTATTTTCAGAGTAATATCCGCGATTTTCTTGTTAATTAATGCAATCAATTTGATGTTGCATAACGGAACTTTACGAATCACAAAGTTTAGAAAAGTTTATCGTATATCGGCTTCTTATTTTCTTTTCATTCTAGAGAATTATGGAATGAACTAGGTCCTATTTGGCCAGATGGATTCTGGGATGATTGGATACGTAATAATACCATACGTAAAAATCGAGCTTGCATTAGACCTGAAATATCACGTACTGGAATGACTGTTGAAGGAAAAAAGGGTGCAAGCGGGTAAAACTATTATCCATTAAATAAGAAGAAAAGAAAGAGAAAAAGAAGCGAACTACAAAAACAATGAAATTATTTAGTTGTTAAATGAAGCAAATCACTTTTAATAAATTAATTTTATGCATATGTATTGCCATATAATTTTTGCAAGTATTATAGGAATTTAATTGAATTTATTTCAGGGGATTGTTCTTCACGAAACATCTAACCAAAATAATTCTCAATGAAGTTTTTGTAAATTTTACAAAATTAAATTTGCGCTATTTACTGAAAGTAATTCTTCATTCATTTGTTTCTATCTTTATTAATCAAGTTAATTAATAATTATTTTTCTAAAGCTATTAAATGAATCTTTTCCTTTAAAACAAAACGATTCTGATAATCAACAGGCGATAGATACACTCCAGCATATTCTTGTAAATATTTAATATTTGCAATATCAAATGTAACAAAATCAAACAATCAAAACTAAGTGATGATTTTTAGAAGAATTATGATCGTGCCTTTATGAAACAGGTATTTTCTACACCGCTCGTCTCATCAACCGAACAATTAATGAAAGCTATGATGGGTAATGGTCCGATACGCATTCAATACAGGACATTAGAAAATTATCTTCAAATTGCTGATCATTTGAAAATAATGCGAGATTTCAAGGTGGTATAAAATAAAATTTCCCATTAAAATTTATTTATGAATTTAAATCTTTTTTTGGATAGTATTAAGGAAAACAAGAAAATGAAGAGAAAAAGAAACAAACAGAAATTAATTAAAGTACAAATATCTCTTTGCATGAAATTTTTGTTTCTTGCATGGAAAAAACGTATTCGAAATTTATCAGAGATTTGTTAATTTTAGAAAATGAAAAAAGAAACTTACTAAAAATTTATAGGATGGAGTACCACGGACAGCATATTTGGGTATAGTAACATGCTTTGTGAATAAAATACGGATATATTTAACGCCAGACCGGGATAGTTGGTCAGGATACGATCCAAAATGGGAAGCATCGTCAGAATAGAATATATATGATAATCTCGATATATAAAACCTCATTCATCCTTTTTCTCAATTTGATTTCCGGTTTTTCTTAGCTTTATTTTCTAAGCTCATTTTCTCATTAAATCGATTTTAATTTGTATCAATTATGGTTTTTGCTTCTCTCTCTCTCTCTCTCCATCTCTCTCCTCTTCTATGAACTAATTTTCTATTTTCATGAGAGTAGTAATTAATTGTTTACAACATGTCGGGTAATTTATTTATCAAAGATTTGCAATAATTTAATTTTTTGATTAACCATTATGCTCATATAACATTCAATTTAAGTAGGTTTAAGCGCATATTGCAAAATTTTTGCTAATATATTTTGTTAATCGTTGCTATTACCAAATTGAGCTTTTCCAGCTTGCATTTAAAATTCGAACTATTAGATATTGCTAATATAAGGAAGCAGTTTTACTTCTTTATATTAGTAGACATTCAGGATGATACAACAGTAAATGAATTGAAATAAAGATAGCAAACTATATGAAAAATCAATTATATTCTCTTTTGAGGAGTTTTACAGTATACTTCTATTTGTAATAACGGTTGAATAACTGTTACAGAGAATAAGTTGTTATTATGAATAATTAAATTGTTCAAATTAGTTACTTTATTAATTAGGTTATTTTTATTTTGCGATATTCATGAGAGTCTTAGTTTTGTAATGAAATTCATTCATTCCTCTTCTAACATATCTTTTCTAATTTCGCGAATACAATTAGTCTTATTTGTATAGTCTAAAAAAATTTCAATTTAAACAAATAATGTTACCACATGCGCAATAATTCCCACATATATGATAATGAAAGAAACATTAAATCAAAAAAAATGAAATTGATTTTCAACTGGAAATTAATTTCCAGTTGAAAATTAATTTCATTTTTTTTTAATTTCATTTTTTTTGATTTAATGTTTCTTTAAAAAAGTGAAAAAATTGATCGATTTTTGCATATAAAATGATATTAGCTACAAGATGATTAGCAATAGCGTAATTGTATAAAACTAAGAGATAACAAATAGATCGAATAAAGTAGTTTGATTGGCATTCATAGCCTATGGGAGACATTTGCGCTTGCTTTAGGTATCGTTTCGTTGTTCCAAAAATCGATTTTTATTCAAAAACTTATTAAGCAATTAAGAAGAATGCAAAAAACGAGTGAATCAATTGATATGTGATTGTTTTAGACGAGTGATATCACTCATTTTAGTTTTTTTCTTCACTGTTATAAGATTTTCAGCTTTCATTGGTTTTCCTCAGTCTTTCATTCGTTCTCTCTTAAATGAAGTTACGTCAAGTTATTCACTAAAACCGTTGCGCCTCTTCTCACAAAAACTGATCATTGTGTATTTGTTTTGAAGATTTAATAGCAATTATTGGCAAAATTTATTTATGAGAATTGGCAAAAAGTGACAGATAGGATTGTATCATTCACGTAACATTAATCATTTTTCATTTTTCGCTCCATGTGTACCTCAAGATTTGTAGAAGTGATTATTCGCAGGGTATGCTACGATATACTGGATGCTTGTTGTGAGGAAGTTAATTGTTGTTATAATAATAATTGTTCACGGGATATCTTGTTGATTGGTGTTTGCTGGATCTGCTGAAATGGAGTATTTATTGACGATAGAATTTGTTGTGATTATTGATGAATAGATTGAGGAGGTAATACTTGATTTTATGTTAATTCTGGTAGTTGTTGTTGCTGATCGATGTTGCTGGGCGCAATTGTCATGACATGCATAAGTGCATGATACACCGCATAGTTCAACTGATTATTGTATTGCACACATTGCTGCATGCAGTTGTTCTGATATACATAAAAGCAAACAGAGGAAGTTGCATTTTGCGTGTTTCGTTGATTTGAATTTTTTCTACTGCTAAACGTTCTTATTTGTCTTGTTGAATTTCAAATACTGTAGGCTGTGATGAATAAAGGAATGCAGATGAGGAATAAAAGACAGTAGATGATGATATTACTGTTTGATGAATGCATTGTTTCCGGCAAGACGGTATACAAAATGAGACGCAAGGTGTAAATTGAGTGAGATGCGGCATGCTATCATTATTTGTAAATGATTCCTGCCATAATAATCTATCTGACATCAATGACTGTTCAATAATTGACTCCGGTGATAGTTGATGCTGAAAAATAGATGCAATTATTGAAGTGCTTCTTTGTTGCGTACATTGACAAGATGGCATACAAGCCTGAGCGTAAATGTCATTATTGTTATCTGAGAATTGGTTATGTGGAATATTCAGTTGTTCAATGGAGTTCAAAGATAGTAGAGATGATGGCTTGTTTGATTTTGTCATCAACATTGATATATTTGATAATATCAATTATCACAGGTATTGATGTGCTCAGCTGTATTTCTGATATTGGAGCGGCATTATCCTTCTGTATGTCCAATTTCCATGTTTGATGTTGCGTTGGAAAATATTCTGGCATCACTTGCAATTGTTGTTGCAATATTGGTTGAGGAAGTTCAATAGTAGCCAGAATAGATTGCTCAACTTTACAGGTATTCTGACAGGATTGTTGACAATGAGAGTATTGCTTCTTCATGCATCTCTGATAGCAGATTGGAGTACAAGTTGATAAGGATATCATCGACTGTTGAGATGCACTTGAATTTCTTGTAGTACCGGAAGCAATTGAAAATGGTTCCTCCTTGTAGAATTGTTGTGATTGTTGTTACTAATGAAAAAATGGAAGCGGATTCTTGCTCCTTTTCATTGTTGTGCTGATATTGTGGTTTAATTTTAAGATAAATATAACATCGAGAGCGATCATGCGGTTCTTTCTTGATGGTCATAAATGAGAAAGTGTGGTGGATTACGAGGTAGCAAATGAGGAAAAGCAAAAAACACTTCATTATTTTTTACCGCAATTGCTGCTATTGCTATTACTTTTATGATAGTGGACATTTAGCTAAAAGCTTTTTATATAGTATCCATCCGGTTTCAAAATATTCATTTAGTTGAACAAATAAAAAAGTTCGCAGTGCCCGGCAATGTTTAGCATTTGCAAACACTGCATCCAGTTATTTATACCACAAATAATTGATGGATAAATTTATCGATCACATCATGCTCTTAAACATTTTGCGACAATTTGAAAATTCATTCCGACAACTGCGCCATCCACTATTAAATAGCTTTTTTTTTAAAAATTTTTTATCATCATTTCTTTCTTGTGTAAATGAAGGAACTTTTGGATAATATTTAAATAAATTCATTCATAAAGTATCTGTTGTGGTAAAACGTTGTAAATTTTTACGAAAACAATGGAAGCAAAATTTTATCACTCTTTACACTTTTAAAATTATCACTATTATTGAAGAATTTACTTTGTAAAAGAACAGATAAAAAATTGATTCCAATTTAGCTAAGAAAATTTTTTCGAATGAAAAACAATCAATCTATAATTAATCTTGTAAAATTTGATTCCAGCTTATGTTTTATCATTTAATGATGATTCGTTACAGTTTCAATGATATCAAATTCTCGATGACATGCCATTTTTGATTAAATCAATCGGGAGTAAATCATTTGTCAAGTTATCCGCAACAAATATTTTACGACATATCAAAATTTCATTTTAATCTCATCTTCAAATAAGTTTATTTTTCATTTCTTGAAGCTAAATTTCTTTTTATTCTACGCGCTCTGCATTTCAAATATTATTTTCATTTCAAGCTAATTATTTTATTGTTTTCAAAATAATTTCTTATAAACAAGAAAAAGTTTTGAAGTACAATTTGCGAAGCGAAACAGTTCATTAATTCATACAAAGTAGAGATAGTGAATTTAAACAGCCATTCTTTGCATATTTCTCTCAACAAAGGTGGCACTTAGATATCCATTCGGAAACTAATTAATTCATCGAAATTTTCCACTCTTACCCGTTTTTTATTTTGTTTACTTTTTTTTTACTTTCAATAACTGGTTACATAAAGCTAATTATGCATCCAATTTATTTTTTTCTTTGAAATTATTCTCAAACTGTTTGTATTTTGCTATTCTACGAATAAATTAATAATATCGATATGTGGCTATTGCTGTTTATTATTATCATTATTTATCATTATTATCAT